CGGCTCCCAGCGCCTGGGAGAGACACACGGACAATTCGGGGACAACTGCCCCCCTGCCACCATCCATCTTGAAGCCCGAAACTCGACGACTTTTGGTACCAAATACACATCTCGTCGACATTTTGGGGGTTGAAGGAAAGAAGCAAAGGGGGGGTGAGGGGGTGTGGAACAGAGAAATCAGGCATTGATCCGGTTTGATCGAGTCTGTGGGCTTCCACTAGCAATAGGCAGGCAAACACTCCCAAAACAGAGACAGACACACGCTCCCAGCTCCTCTGATTATGTTAAAAAGGGGGGAAAATAAAAGGAGGACGGAAGATTAAAAAAAAATGGGGAAAAAAAAAAGCGGAAAAAAAATAGAGAAAAGGCAATAAGCGGTACGTTCCCTCGAATCTGTGGTGCTGTAAAGAAATCAGGTTCAGTATAAATGATTGTATTTGGGTGGGTGCTTTTCCGACTTATTTGTTGAGTAAATCTCCCTCACTGCGCTGAAGGCGAATCCCTGTTGATAAATCCATCATTACCGTTTGGGTACAGGGAGACAGCAGCGCCACTAAATTTATCTTACATTTGTAGCGCTTTAATAGACATTTATTAAATGCTTTTAGAGAGAGACATGGGGCGCCTGATTACATCCTAGTTATAGACAGAACATAAAGACACACGTTAACAGCAATTTACAAGAAGGAAAAGAATAAAGAAAAGAAAACAAAGAAAAGGCAAAGTTTGGGAGCAAAGCTGCTGGGAGACAGTCATTGTGCGCCTTTCGGCATGGACGCCGACCACCGGCTTTTTCTCCTGCATTTCTCGGAATATTAATCGTGGCCTATAGACTCGTGTGCGTGCAGCCATATAGATACGTGTATAGGACATGCACACGGATGCAGAGGGAGACGTGCGGATGGATCAAACGGCGCTATACGCGCATTTCTGTTCCGTAAGGCAACATCAGAATACAGGAGAGCAGTTACAATAGATTCATCACCCTCTTTCACACTCGCCCTCCACCCCCCGCTCCCCCCGCCAGCTTTTAACTCTAATTTCAATCTTCTTCAACTGGAGAATCTCCAGGGACCTGGGCAAACTTGTGTAAAATAGTTAAACCAAGCGTGTTTCAAAGAGGATTGCTGAGTTCCTCTTCCTGCCTTAATAAACCGAAAGGCCCGGTTCAAAGCAAACACACTGGAATCAAAATTCAAAATATCTCACGACTCGCACGGATCGAGCAGGCTCAGAGCAATGCATTCAGTCTCACGCGTTGGTGGCCACGTAGTGACAAACATTTCGCCCTGCTTTTTGTGTGTGTGTGGAAATCCTTCCTTTGGGCTTTTTTTTTTTTTTTCCCCCACTATCTTTTTTTAACCTTTCTATTTTTCTAAAAATCCCTTTCGCTGTCTCCCAGGTACACGATTAAAGCCACCTCTGGCTTTTCTAAACTTAACCCGCTCCGGCAGAGCTCGGACCAAATCCGGCTCAAGCCCGCACCGCAGAGCACCCGCCACGCGCCGCCCCGTTTAGGGAGCAGTGATTTTTTTATTATTATTTTTATTTTATATATATATATTTTTTTGCGGGTGTCTTGCGAACATCGCGTCTGCCTTGCCTTCCCACCATCCGAGTCATGCCAAGGACAGCAGCGGCCGGATTTCGCGTTCAGCTCGGAGCTCATCCCCCTTCAAGACCCTTGGGTCGCCTTTTGCGGGGGACAGGGAGGCGCACACCCTCGGGAGATTCTCCGCACCTCCAGAAAAAAACAAACAAACAAACAACAAAACCAACAAACCACAAAAGCGAAACCTTCCCCCCGCCTCTGCCCTTTTTCAAGAACACTTCTTCTATCTAAAAGTTTCCAAAAGAAAATAAATACAAGTGACACTGTGCTGGGGGAAAGCTCATTAGTTCGTTGTCCAACTCTAATAAAAGAACAGAAGTGCAAATTATAGAGTTCAGCTTCAACACACGCTCTGTCAACTAAAATCAACCGAGTGCAGGCTTGATTCAAATAGCTGCGAAGTTGGTCCGCAATTCAAAACCACCTTCCCCCTCCTCCCTTCCCTTCCCACCCCACCTCCACCCTCCGCCCTGCCGCAGGGACATTTGGTGGAAAAATATTGTTCCAAGGAAGGTAATGATAAAGCTTAACATTAGGAAGAGGAGTGCGCAAACTCATTTCCCCATCGGTGATCCCACTAAAACGAGCGTGGTGCTGTGCTGGGCAGGGCTGGGATAGGGGCTGCGTGTGGGGGGGGTGGACGGGGGGAGGAGGGACGGGACTCCTGAAATAACATCTTCTTTCCAGCAAGGTAGAAGAAGAAACGGCCCCTTTGTTTTGATAATTAGCTAAGCCCAAACTAGGAAAGCAGATGTGTTTGCTTAGCTAATCATAAGACAAGTTTCTTTCAAAGAACTTCATTGAGCGATTGCAATTGTGAAGCAAAGAGAAGGATTTCATTTTCCTCTCCTTCGCCTCTCTCTCCCCCCCACCCCCACCCCCCCCCCCCCATCTATATTTTTTACTCCTTCTAATACGATATAAACGCTTCCGATTACCTAGCTGGGAAGGAGGCGAGCCCTGCGCATCCCACCGCGGGCATCACCCCGACCCGCCCGGCCGCCCCAGCCTTACCCCGGCGGAGCTGCTGACATTGTACGTCGGGGGGATGGGAGAGCGAAAGAGAAGGGGGAAAAATAAAGTTTTAATGACATGTATGACATATTAAATTAGGCAGTTTTACAATTGGGTTTGAATGCGATGCTAACTGATTACAACTGTGTTATCAAAAGGGTGATAAGATTTATAACTTCGCGAGCACAAGCCTCTCCTCTTAATGACAATAGATGTTCAATAGCAAAATCTGGTTTCTATTTTCCAAGAAGAGACGCTGTGTGTCTCCGTTGCCCCTTTATTACCGCGGGATTCAAGATCCTCTCTAAAACAGCTTGGCACTTGGAAATGCGCAGGCCAGGAATACCTTTATGGTCCCTATTAACTACTGTGTTATTTACACTTTCGCTGGTGCTCCTCACTCAATACCCGTATCACATACGGGGGATAACACAGTCCCTCTCCTTCCCTGTCGCTGCCTGTTTTGGATTTAAATTTCGCATTTCTTCGCTTTACACACACACACACAAAAAAAAAAAAAAAAAAAAAAAAAATGGGGGGGGAGGAAAAAAAAAAGCGCTCTGCCTCTTACACCCTTCTCCTCCCCAGCTCCCTAAACCAACACATTAAGCAAACTTTAAAAACTGGGTTCCTATTACAAAGCAGCGCCCAGGACTAACTGCTTTAAAATTACTGCATAATTAGATTTAGTTGAATTTCACCATTAATTAGGCAGCCGCACTGCGGGGAGCCTTTGAAATCTGAGAAAATGGGAAAAATCATCTGAAGCACGTTTTTTAAACCCAACTTCAATAAATCCTGACAAGGCCTGCATTTCTCCGTGTATCTCTTTCCACCCTACAAAGCAAAGCGAAGCGAGCACGATCCCCAGGACCCACTAAAGTTTTAATTAAAATAAAAATAAAATCCAGCCAGCTTCCCCCAGCCCGCTCGTTATCGGCGGCGGGCGCGGAGAGACTCGCAACGTCCCCTTCCTCCTCCTCCTCCTCCTTCTCGGCCCCTCCATCTCCCCTCTGCCTCCTAAGGCACCTTCCCCTCTGACCCCCCCCGGGGCACACACCCGGAGTGACTCCGGCTCCGCTCCGCTTTCACCGGAGGGGAGCACCTTCCGCGGCTCGCGCACTCTCCGCGGTACCCCGAGCCACCGACCCCCGAGCCGGGGCACCCCCCCGGCGCCTCCCTCCCCTCCAAGCACCCCCCCCACCTTTTCCCCTTCCCTCCTCCAGGGCTACGCGGAGGGGCCGCCCCCGCGCAGCGCCCCGGGGCCTCCCGCGGTGGAGGTCGCGGAGGCTCCGCGCAGCGCGCACTCAAGGGCCGCGGACGCCATGTTGGAGGCCGAGCTCATCGGAGGCTGAGCCGGGGCGGACTTTCCCACGCGGGGAGTTACGCGGCCGCGGAGCTTTTCCTCCACCTCCTCCTCCCCCCCCCTTCTCCTTTCCATCCATCCCTCCCGACCCAGCCCGGCCTCCGGCGGAGCGGCCTCCGGAGGAGCCCCCCGCGGGTCTCCGGGCTCTGCCCGGCCTCGGCAGCCCCACGGGCGGGTTGGCACCGCCCGCCAGGCGCCTCCTCTCGCCCCGGCCCTCCGCTTTTGTCTGAACTTGGGAGAGCCGCCTCCTCTCCGCGCCCCCTCCGCGCCCCCCGAGCCCGGAGGGTCGGGGAAGGTTTGGGCGAGAGGCGGCGGGGAGGGAGGAGGAGGAGGAGGAGGAAGAGGAGGGGGAAGAAGAGCTTGCCCGAGCCGTGGTGGTTGCACCGCGGGAGGCTGTGCAGCTCTCGTTGGCGTTCCGGGTCGCCTTTGGGGCTTTCCTCCTCTCCAGACCCCGCGCCGGTGGCAGGGGTGGTGGGGAAGGAATGAAGCGAACTAAGACCGGATTAAAAAAAAAAAAAAAAAAAAGGGAGAAAAATAAAAAAAGGGAGGGTTAGGGGGGGAACGGCAAGGGAAAAAAAATAGAGACTTAAAGGGAAAGAGTCGCCATGTTTAGCAGCTTTTTTTTTTTCCTCTTAAAAAAAAAAAAAAAAGATCTCCTCAATTCCACATAGAACAAGCTTCTCGATCCCAACCCTCCTCTTTTGTCCAATTCAATCTTTGGATAGATCTTTTGTTCTAACTCAGCATGAAAAGAAAAACTTTCTTTAAATGCTATAAACTTAAAACTAACTGAAGTCCCTAAACAAATCCTCCTCTGAGCATTCCAAACATATATACATGGGGCTCGTGTGTGTGTGCGTGCGTGTGTGTGTGTGTGTGTTTTTATTTAACCCTGGTGCATTTTCTGTTTACTATTATTCTCTGTGAACCAAAGCTTGCTGCAAGAAACTTATAAATACAGAGATAGCTTACAGGCTTTAAAACATAAAAAGCAGAGAATGTTTTGGATTTGAAAATCATAAATTATAATTTAATGCCAATAACAATTTACAACAAATGGTTGTTTACAATAAACTAACACAAAACAAACAAGTCAAGATCCTGTGTTCTTAGTAAGCATAAAAACTTCACACACACACACTCACATGGATAGCACTTGCAATAGAAAAAGCTAAATCTAGAGGTCAGCAATCCCCTGCAATAATAGTATATTTATATATTTATATATATTTATATATTTATAGAAAAGGAGCCATGATTCAGATGTGAAACTCTGCTCAAATTCACAGTCACACGCCCCTCAGCCCCCAGTACAGATGTGTCTGACTGGAACGCACCAAAGATCAGGCTTTAATCGACTTTACAGAATGATCTCTCTCCCTCCCTCCCTCTCTTCTCGTGAAACCACAACATGGTGTAGTAACGTGTGCTGGAAGGGGAGAGGGGAAGCCTCAGCCGGGAACAAAATTGCAAGCTTTCACATACAAAGCATCTGCTCTAGACCAAGGGGCGAGAGGGCGGGCGTTGGGGGGGGGAGAGAGAGAGAAAAATAAAAAATAAATGACACGCACACGCACGGACCAAAATCCACCCCCCTGGGCAAAGCACAGCGTCTTGCCTCCAATCTTGCCTTCCTGCGGGGCTGGGGGGCTCCTACTCGGGCCGGCGCTGGCCGCCCCCGGGGCCCCGGCCCCGGCACTCCACGATCGCGCTCCCAGCAGCGGCGGGGAGCGGCCGGGGCAGGGCTGCGGGCAGGGCCCGGCATCCACCCAGGGAAGATGCCCGGCCGCCTCTGCAGGCGTGTGTGCCAGCAGACACACGGGCATGCATCCCCTATGCAAAATATAGAGATGACCTGTGGTCACGCTTTCACAGTCTAAGGTTAAAAAAAAAAAAAAAAAAAAAAGCAAACCCACTTGAGAGTATATGTACATTAAAAACCGAGTCCTCGGTGCTAGAAGCTAAAGCCACTCCATTTGAAGACCTCTCAATGACAACGATAGATGGCAACTACAGAGTATTATAAAAAATCACACGTACTTAAAGAAAACTCATTGCAAACAACTGACCTATATTTACAATACTGCTATTACCTTGCTTGAATGATCTTGTGCGCGTATGTCAGACATTTACAAAAGATTTTTCGCCCCATTCTGATCATAAAATAGATACTGATCTCCAGATTTCTAACACTTTTTCACAACAATACCTTTCCTACGCAGGCACTTAAGTGTGACAAAAATAAGGGCCTTTTTTTTTCTCTTTTTCCAGAAAATCCATTTTTAATTAACAGGAGGATTAGATGAATGGGGGATGATGGTTTACCATTTCAGCATGGTACTTCCTAAAACCATAGATAAACCACGAACTTAAGTCCTCCACCCCCATCCCGGAATTAAACAGGTAAATACACTACAATACATCTGCTACAAACTTACTGTGACAAGTAAACAAATCAATCGCCTATGGACTTAAATGACTGCAAACTATAGAGAAGTAATGCGGTTTCTGAAAGACATTTATGACAGCCAAACAAGTTTCAGATATCAAATAATATTTTAATTTCTGAATACTTTCAATTTTCCTTGGAATATAACACACAAAGACTCGACCAAACAGTTCAGTTATTATAACTTTTACAGTATACAGAAATGTTGCACTTAAAAAAAAAACCTTCAGTTTTTTTAAACACAAAACTGTAAACTCTAAGATACTGAATCAATCACGTTATCTATAAGTGCCAACAGTGTTATTTTGTCATGCTGATTTCAATGGTATTTTTTAAAAAGGGAAAATATCAACAATTATTATAATACAAAGGGCTTGCAAATATACAAACAGATAGAGGAGTTTAATAACAATTCATGATGAACTATGTGGAACCCAATTCAAATTACAAAAGTTCACTTTGCTAGTTTGTTTGCTTTTAAATCAAAACCGCAGTGTGTCTTGGACACGAATCCTTCTACCTATAATAAATCCCCACAGTTCATTTTCTGTCCGAAATATCAAAAAACCTAGATTTGGGGGGAGTTATATGACACGTGTGGTTCATTCGGGTCTATATAATTATAGTTCTCTCAGCTTCAAGCTAGATTTTGGGTCACCACCTTAAGTGCGCTTCCATCATTGTGTTGTTGAGTGTTTTTTTTCTCTTTTCCTTTCTTCCTATGATACCTTCGTGGACTCAGTTTTAATTCTTTCAGAACATATATTTTAAGGATACACAGTTTTTTTTTTTTTTAAAGAAGCCAAGATTATATCAAAAATTATTATAGAACCACAGAATAAACTGGTTTGAAACCAGAAAAATACAAAAAAGAACAGCTATAGGTACATAGACACATAGGACAATTAATAATTTGGAAAAAAAAGACTTACTTTCTTCCATTCTGCTAATTTTCTCCAAATTTCCTTTAAATGCACTTTAAGCGAGATTTTTTTAAAAAGTTTACCCAAAAAAAGAAAAAAAAGAAGAAAAAAGAAAAAAAGAAAAAGCCCACCATCGTTTCTTTTCTTCTTCTTTCTCTTTTTTCTTTCTTTCTTTTTTCTTTCTCTCTTTTTTTTATTTTTTACAAAAAATGATAAGTAGCAAGTTTTTTTTTCTGAACGACACGGGAGTTTTTAATGCATTCTGTAAAAGTTCATTTGACAGTCTCTTTTTTAATTCACAGTCCATTAATTTTTTTCCTGTCTTCTCTTAGCAAACTTGTAACATCCTTTTACATCCTTTCTTAGCAGAAGGAAATTTAAGAAACAACCAGAACCCAAATGTCATTTGCTTTCCTTTCACTCTCTTTCATCTCCCTTCTCTTTTTTTTTTTTTATTTTTTTTCTCTCTCTCGATTATTTTATTGAATGGACATATAAGGCCAGTTAAAACTGCTGCCAGACAGTAACATATCCCTGATTAGGGTTTCTATGGGGGTTTTACCTACCAAACGGACGAAAAACAATTGCTCTATGACAGAAGAGGAGACAGTGCGAAGGGAGGGGAGACGTAGTAATAGCTTCCCGAATCGTGTTGGCTGGTTGGGATACTGGCTCCTAACATACTCTTCCAAAGCACACTGTGACTTCTCCTGTAAACTTTCAACATGGGCTACATCAGAGAGACCACAGGCATCTAGAAGAAAGTGTATTAAAAAAAAAAAAAAAAAAAAGAAAAAGAAAGAAAAGAAAAAAGAAAACAATCATCAGATTAAAAAGTTTTTTTTTTTTATTTTAATTTGATTTTTTTTAATTCGCTAGAATGAAGTGCGCCATCACCTTGCCCCCCAGAGCCTGAGTGGGTTTCACCAAAAGGGACAATCTCCCTCTTTTCTGCATGCGCCTGCGTTTCTCCCTCTTGGAGGGTCTCGTTAGGATGGAGAGCAGCTCCAGGAGCGGGGGCCGGGGCTGCACCCCACAACCAGGAGGTGCCGCCGGGCTAGGTCCCTGCCTCGGGGTCCTGGGGGCAAGGCCGGGGGCAGGGAAAGATTGGGGCGAAGGAGGGAGAGGCAGCTTCTCTTCCTCCCCCCCTTTGGAAAATAAGCGCGGAGAGCCTGAGCATGCGATGGGAAGGCACACTACTGATAGCGATGGAAATAATAATCAGCATCATAATAATAAAAAACTGGCCCAGCCAAGGATAATGGCGCCCCGGATCCAGCAACAGATTCTCCCCCAAAGAAGACAACGCGTTTTTCTTCAGTCTTTGAAACTGATTTAAGTGGCCCTTTAAAACTGATCTTGTCAGTTTAGCCTATTCAGAGGCAGCCATGCAAACTGTGATCTCTCTGTTCATTTGAGCTGTTTCTTTTCCCCCCTCTTTTCTTTTCTCTTTCTTTCTTCCCCCCCCTCCACTCCCCCCTCTTTTTTTTCCTCTTCTTCTTCTTTTTAAACCTAAAGGCCCTTACAAGAAGAAAACTCCCTGATAGGGTCTGGACATTTTTTTTTTTTTCTGATACGCTAAAATACAATAAGTTCCCTTTAAATCAGAGACGTCTGTGCTGAAAGAGCACAGGTTGTGACCTGACCTCCCTGTGGCTTTCCTAGGCACAGGGCTAACACATGCATATTCTGCGAGTCATTAGAACCCAGATTTTTTTTTTTTTTTTAAAGAAAAAGAAAAAAGAGGCAGCAGCAAACATTATATGCATCTCTGTGCGTCTGCTTTCCATCAGTGGCTGTTATTGGGGTGCTGCAGGAGCCGCATGCGTAACCCAGCTTGTGCACGGGGCTATCTCCCCAGAATCAGATAACAAGAACCGTTTATCTAGTTGGGAGGCAATTTACACGCCAGGCCTCACATTTGGAAAATAGCAATAAATTTAAACAGTTACGACAGGATCGGACGATTGTTTTCTCAGAAGGCTAAAAAAAAAAAAAAAAAAAAAAAAAAGTGGGGTTTTGGAGAAAGGCAGGGTTTCAGCTAAACTCGGGCGTGGGTGTGCGCTGGCCAGGGGCTGGGGCCGCCTGGGTGCGTGTGTGGGATTCTCGCTGGGCGTTTGGGCGAAGGGAGAGGAAAAGGCATCCTAAAAAGCGACAGAAAATCAAATGAGCGCCCCACGGTCAGGCAGCCCCACTCGGGATCCCCGTGTCCCCGTGGCGAGGGGCGCCCTACCCATCGATCACCTCAGGACTTTAGCACGAGTGATGGGGGGGGGGGGGGGGAGAGAAGTTTTTTATGTGTAAAGCAATAATATATAAAAGGAAGTTTAGGTCACGACCCAGAACCTGGACAAAGTCCAGAAAATGACTTCGTTCCCCAGACCCCCTTTAACACAACAAGGAACGGATTGTGAGCCCTTCTTTTCCCACATAAACTACATTTTTTTCCTGTTTCCTGATATCAGGCTTTAAAAAACTCCGATGAGTAATTATTTTACAGGTCCTGCTTCCATTCATATGTTTATCGCGTGGCCACTTTCCCAAGCTTTCGAATGAGTTACAGAATAAATATATGTATTTTTAAACTCAAACCCCAAACTTCTAGGGCTCCAACACAGTGGGTTGCCGCTGCAGCCTTAAAGTTAGCAATCTGAGATAACGTATTGCACAAATTAGCGAGCAGATTTTTTTTTTCAAAAAAAAAAAAAATATTTAGCCTCCAGAGTTAATATCAGGTTTATTACTCACCCAGGTTAAACTCTAGTGCAAGCTAATTAGATTTCACAACGCACTCAATTATTGCTTTATAACTCATGCACTATTTCTAGGCAGCCAAAGTTGACACATATTTTTCCCCCCTCTCTTTGATTATCCAAGAAACACCTCGAGCTCTGCCTCGGGAGAGGCGGGCTTGTGCCACCCCGGGACTGCACCGCCGAGCGGCAGCTTCCCTCTCCCTCCTCTCCTCTCCTCTCTTCTCTTCTCCTTTCCTCTCTTCTGCTCTCCTCTCACTTTTTCATGCTGTCCCTGTCTACTTATGGTAATGATCCCTTCGCACCCGCTACTCGCTTTGGACGCTACAGTTCATGCTGGGTACAAATGCAAACTTTTCCCCTCAGCTTAAATGACACAGAACTGCTCACTGCCACATTCTGTTTAAATCAGAGACAGCTCTTTGGAAAGTTGATTTATTTTATTTTATGGGATGGCAGGGAACATATTTTAAACTCAGCTTTGCGCATTTAACTTTTTTTTTAATTCATTTTTTTAATCCTGCAGGGCTTTTTTTTTTTTTTTTTTTTCCCTTCCTGTCTGCCCATAAAATGATCCTCTTTTTAAAGTGTGTTTCCCTGATAGGACGACTCGTATTTAACAACATCAAACAGATTTTTTTGCTGCTGTTCGGATGCGTGTCATTAAATGCAACAACCCAGAGCTACACTGTTAAATAAAATATTATTTTCAATGGGAAAAGCGCAGTCTCTCGTGGCGAATGGGTGCCTCCCCCCCGCGCCCCCTCTCTTCCCCCTTCCCCAGCGTTACGCAGCGAGGGACCAGGGGGCTTGTGGGGGTCCCCTGCTCGTCTTTTCCTCATCGCCGTGGCTGTTATTATTTATCTGTTCGCTCGCCCTCCCTCGCAGGGGAGGTGCTGAGAGCCGAGGCCCCGCAGGGACCCCCCAGAGCCCCTCTCCTTGCCCAGGGTGCCCGGGGGGGCCGCAGCAGGGCCGGGCTGCGGGCAGCTCCCCTTGGCAAGAGCGAGCACTTCTCGGAGGGGCCGGGGGAGGGACGGAAGAGCAAAGAAACGCTGCCTACCTGAGGTGAAGAGGACTATGGCCTTTAAACAGCTATATTCTGCGGAGTCGACATGCAAGGCTTTCAGTTTTTCGACTTGCTCTTGGAAGATTCGTATGTGGTCCATAAAGGCGACCACTCGGTCAGCAGACATGGGCGAAGCGTGGAGGCCGGCGGCTGCCAGGAGCGGGGCTACGTGGAGGGGCATGGAGCACTGGGCAGCGTTGAGCACAAACAACTCGCTCCAGGTCAGCCTGAGCAGGGCCACCTGGTCTGTGATCTGCAGGTCTGGGAAGAAGGGGATATTCCTGGCCCACTCCACCGCGCTGAAGAGCATCCTAGCTGCCAGTTCGCAAATGTTCTCGATGCCCATGATGTTGTTGGGTTGCATGCACTGACTGCCAAAGCGGGAGGTGGGGTAGGGCTCGGCTCTCAGAAGAAGGGAGATATATCCGGATAGGTAGGAATGGCAGTTGAGAGGGTCCCCGTTTGTCAAGGCGAACTGACCGTGAGTTGGCTGTGTGGGTGGCATTCTGCCCCTCTGGACCGCTGCAGTAAATAAAGAAGAAACTACAGCTATTAATATCTGAATTGCCCCTCTCGCTTCAAACCCAGCCCGCTTTGTGTGCCGCTGCCTGCCGGGCTGACCCGGGGCCGGGGGGGCTCCGGGGGCTCCGCTTCCAGCACCGGCAACAACAAAGCTGAGCCAGGCCGGCGGCCCCAGCGCTGGGAAACCCAGGATCCCCCCCCTTGTTCCCCCCCCCCAGCCACCCCTCCTGCGGCTCCGAGGGGTTCGTCTTTGTGCCCCCCATCGGTGCGGGGCGGTCCGGAGGTGGGGAGCACCGGCAATACGGCCCCCAAAACCCGGAGCACGGTCCCCCCCAACCGTGTTTCTCGTCCCCCGAGCACACGGGCGCCGCTGCTGCTGCTGTCCCCCACCCCCAGCACCCCCGGCCCCAGCCTCGCTCGGCCCTTTTATAAAAATAAAAATGAAGGCGGCCAGGGCAGCCCCCGCCACCCCCGGCAGGTCCCCCCGCCGGGCCGGGGGCATTATCCGGCGGCACCTTCCTCGGCTGCCGGTGGAAAGTGGGCCTTTCATTTTGTTAATAAATTTCCACGGTGACAGCGAGAGAAAAGGGAGAGAGAAAAAGGGCTCGGAGGCAGGGAGACGGCGAGGAGGGCGAACGCCTAAAACGTGCTTGATTTATATTTGTTCTCGCCCGCGTTACGAGGTTAGTTACTCTTGCAGAAACACAAAGAAGAGGAGCCCGGCAAGTCCCGAGCCCCCTCACCCTTAACCTACATAGCGGCGTCCAGCCCCGGAGCACGCACTGGCAAACCGCAGGCTCACATTTCTCCTCTAATTTTATATCACAAAGGCTCGGCTCGCAGAGAAGCCGGGCACCCTCACTTACTTCTGGGCTGCTCCTTTTCCCCCCAGCCTCCCCTTCTGGCCCCTGCCTCCGCCGGAGGGGCGAGGGCAGAGGGGGGAGAAGAGAAAAGTGAGCTAAGAAACCGGCGGGGAAGCGGGCACACGGCGCGGCCAGGCGCGCACCCACGCGCGGGGCTGTGCACGCGTGTATTTGTGGTTTTAAAGGAGGAAAATCCGGCTGGGAATCCACAGTGGAGTGCTGTAGAGCCTCGGTAGGGTGAGTTCCATTGTAGCAGTAATTCGAACCGCCTGGGTTTATAAAAAAAAAAAAAAAAAAAAAAAAAAAAAAAAAAAAAAAAGAACTCGCGAGCTAAGGCAGGGTGCCGGGGGGCTCCGCGGGTGGGTGGGTGCGCGCAGCCGGGCGCACGGGGGGCTGCCGGGGCCGGGGGGCGACGCTGGACATGCAGCCCAGAGCGCTAAGGACAAGCAAGCAGGCGTCAGAGCCACCGTTTCCTCGCTCGCAAGCGGCGTGAAACTAAAAATCCACTGGCAATAAACCTCCATCAGCAAAATGAAAACAAACACAAATCAATTACGGGCGCGGGGGGGGGGGAAGCATGCAAGAGCCCCTGCCTCCCCTGCCCACCCTCGCCGACACCTCTTCCTTCCATTACGAGAAAACTTTCTGGCTGTTTATTCGAGGAGGGGGGGAGGGAGCTGGCCGAGGGATGGGGTGGGGGGTCGGGAGGGGGGGGTAAAAATAAGAGGAGCAACAACAACAACAACAATAATAATAATAATAATTCAAAAGGAAAAAGGAAAACCAACAACAAACCAAAAGCAAAACGCAGTGAGTGAAAAAAATTGCAAAACAAATGAAATCCCAATACCTTCCCGTCTCATGCCAACTTTGAGGCATTTTTTGAGGCGGCAGTACTGACACTGATTGCGGTGGTGCTGGTCAATGGGACAGTTCCTGTTGGCACGACAAGTGTAGCTGAGATTCCTCCTTACACTCCGCTTGAAGAAACTCTTGCAACCCTCGCAGGTAAACTGGCCATAATGTTTGCCACTAGACTTGTCCCCACAAACCACACATTCAATGTGCTGCTGCTGCTGCTGTTTGTCTCCTTGGTTCTGCTGGCTTGGCGGGTTGGTCTGGGCTGGCGTACTGGGAGGGCCCCCGGGCCCCGGGGTCTGTGGGGTGTGCGGGGCCCCGGCCGGGGGTCCCTGCACCGGCGGGGCTTGCGAAGGCTGCGTTCCCTGAGCTCCGGGCACATCGTCCTGGGGGTCTCGCCACGCACCGACTACCATTGCCATATCTATTGGACACCGTTTCCAAACTTCCTGTTCCCCCTTTATTTTCAAAGTTTGTTTGCTTTGCTTTTCAGCTCAGCTTTGCAGCAGTCTGTTTTTTTTTTTTTTTTCCTCCTCCTCCTCCTCTCTCTCTCTTTCTCCCCCACTCTCTCTTTTGTTGCCTTTTTTTTTTTTTCCTCCTCCTCCTCCTCCTTTTTCTGCCCCTCTCAGCGGGGTCGGGGCGGGGGGAGCTCCCGGGGCCGGCGGCGGAGGTGCGGGCGCGGGGGGGGGCGAGCGGCGCGGCGGCGGCCGGGGCTCCAGGAGAGCGGAGAGAGCCGGGGGGGGTTGGGGGAGAAAAGGGGGAGAGAGAGAGAGAGAGAGAGAGAGAGAGAGAGGAGGGAGGAAAAAAAAAAAAAAATCTCTTCGGAGATCTCCCCCTCTCTCTCTTAGAGCTGATCTGCAGCAGAGGAGTTGAAGGAGGAGAGGCGGGTGTCGGGGGGCCAGGTCCAGGGAAGCTCGCAGTCAGCCATTCAGGAAAGCCATCAAAATAAGAATGAATAAAAGGTTAAAGATTACACACACAGCGGAAAAAAGCACGCACAGCTGAGGAGACTTTTCTCGGCGCGGAGAGCGGACGGTCTCGCCGTAGTTTTGGGAAGTCCAGCTTGCGGCAGCAACATCAACTGCGATCGCTTTGTTTTTGTGGGCTTTTTTTTTTTTCCTCCTCTTTCCTCCTCTCTCTCTCCGCTCTGTCTCTCCTCCCTCCTTCGCTCGCTTTAATTCTTCCTCTCCGCCGCTCCGCCCGGGCGCTGCTCTCTGCCTCCTCTCTCTCTCTCTTTTCTCTCCTCCTTTTTTTTTTTTTTTTTTTTTTTTTTTAATTTTCTCTCGGTGCGTGCGGGTGGGTGGGGGGGCTGTCTCTTTTATTAATTATTATCAGCGGTATCTCCCTGCCGGTGGCCGATCTTCTCCCGGTGCTGCTGCTGCTTCTGCTGCTGGTGCCGGTGCCGGTGGTGCTGCTCGGGCTCTTGCCGGTGCTCGGTCGCCGGTGGCGGGTGCCGGGGTGCCGGTGGCGGTGCCGGGGTGTGCCGGTGGCGGTGCCGGGGTGCCGGTGGTGGTGCTCGGGTGCCGCCGCGCTGCCTTATGCTGCTTGTGCCGCCTCGCAAGTGGGCTCTCGCCTCCGCGCCGCCGGTGCTCACGGCGCGGGCGGGGGAGAGGGGGGCGGCGGGGGGGGGGGGGGGGGGGGTTGCGAGGAGGGAGGGAGAGGAGGAGGAAGGGGAGGGAAGGGGGGGGGGGAGGGAGGGAGGGAGGGAGGGAAGGAGTCAACTCGGCAGCGCAGCGCCCGGCCGGGATGATAAAAGAGGGGAGAGGAGGAGGAGGAGAGAGGGAAGGATCACAACCCAGCGCGCAGCATCGCTCTGAGGGGGGGGGGGGGGGGCGCGCTGAGGGAGGGGTGTGTGTGAGGGGAGGGGGGGGGGGGAGCCCTTCCCCCAGCGCCCCCCCGGCGAAGAGGGAGGGGAGAGAGAGGGAGGAGGAGGGAAGAAGAAGAAGGAGGAGGAGGAGGAGGAGGAGGGAGGGGCGGCCGGGCGCGCTCCCCGCCGGCCGCTGGCCCCGCTGGCGGAGGGAGTGAACTTTGACACGGCTGCTGCAACTCGGCGCGCGTCGCCATGGCGACCGGGCGCCTTGCGCGGCGGGGCCGGCGCGGCCTGCCTGCCTGCCGCCTGCCTGACGGAGGGGCTGCCTGAGTGGCCCGCAGCGCGCGCGCCGCCCCACGGCCCTCATTGGCCCGCGCCGCCCTTGCGCGGCCTCGCCATGGCCGACGACGACGCCCGCGCGGTCCTAGAGGCCGCCGCCGCCGCCTCCTGTGGTGGCGGTGGTGGTGTGGGGCAGGGCGCTGCGCGCTTCGCCCCGCCGCCTCCACCTCCTCCTCCTTCTCCTCCTCGCCCTCACCTGGGGAGCTTATCCCCCCTCGCCCCGTCACGGAGGGGGTCAAGGGGGTGAAAGAGGGGAGAAGTGGAATAAAAATGAAGTGGGGTGATGTTATGAGGGGGATCAACCCCGAGGGCAGGCGCCGCCCCGCTCCCTGACCGGGGCAGGGAGAGGCCGGGGCCGCTCACGGCTCCGCCGCACCTGCGTGGGGTTTGCGCGGAGGTTCCGCGCCCGGTCGGGCTCCACCGGGCAGGGCAGGGCGCTGGGAGCCCCCCGTGCTCCCTCAGCGGGGTCCCGGCCCCGGCCCGGAGCCGTCCCGCTTCTCCCTCGCCCCCCGCCGCGCAGCGCCGCGGGGAGCCTGGGCTCGTCCGGCCGCCTTCAACTTTGTTTCTCTGCGCTTTTTTTTTTGTCTCTTTTTAACGTGAATTTTCTGTCACCCGCCCTGCAGGCGCGGCGGGAGCAGCAGCCGAGGGTAGACCCCCTACGGACGCGGGGAGAGCCGCCCGTCTCTGCATACACCGCGACCGGCCGGGGGACGGAGAGAGGAGAGGAAAAAGAGTGAAAAATAAAGCATAAAAAAAAAGCAAAACCTGAAAAAAAAGAAACAACAAACAAACACAAAACCTCCTCAAAGAGAGGGAGAAACACCAGCTCCCAGCCACGCATCCGTGCCCGCTCGCCCCCAGCCCCGCAAAAGGACTCAGCGCCCCGCACCTCTCCCCGCTGCACCCCGCTCTGTGCCGCAGAAATATCGGGGTCCCCCCTGCCGCAGGTGCCGAGGGGATGGGGAAAGTGCCCAAAGCCCCCAAAAGTGCCTTTTTATCCCCCTGCTCAGCCCCCACGGACGGGGATGCTCGGAGGCTCGGTCTGAAAAGACGAGGCTGCGGCATCCCCGTCGAGGCTGCCGGGGCGAAATTCGCTCTCACCGAAGAGGGGATGAGTTGGGGCCGGGGAAGGCTTTGAGGATGGGGAGAGGAAACCTTCCCCGGTAAGAGGAGAGCAACAGCCTTCTGGTTCCCAAGTAACCCGGCCACCCGGCCCCGAGGAGGTCACCTTTCGGGGACAGAGGGGGAGAAGGTGGGGGTGCAAAATGCAGGATAGTCACAGATTGTTGCTGATGTTGAATTTCCTGAGGAAAAAAAAAAAAAAAAAGGCTTTCCTGTCTCGAATCTGACAAAGTAAACAGGATTAATTCACCATATGCAAAAAAATGCATTAATACCGTCCTGACAAACGCAGAAATCAGAAGAGAAAGCGGTTTTAGCAGGACCTACGATAGGAACAGTTTGAACGTATGATCGTAAAAATGAAAAGCCATTGATACACGCTTAAAAGCTGCCGTATACGCTGATTGCTCAAGCATTAATGAAGAATGCCCCAGATTAACTATTTGCTCTTGCAGGGATGTAGCCATATAACTATCTATTAGCACCATTAGATGCCTTGCTATTTATTTGAAAACACCTCTGCGAGGGGGTAGAGGCAGAAGAGGCGAAGGTAGAAATGGTCTGCAGCTAATTCTGCTAAATAATATCTGCAAGCCGAGCGCCTCGAGAAGAAGGGGGAGATTCCCAACTGTCCTTCTCCGAGCCCAGTCACAATAGAACCGCTCTCTTTGAAAAGTCAGACTGTCTTGGTTTCCCCAAATAAATAAACGCATCCCTCCTGCCATTTTACTGCAGATGTAAATTTATTTTAATGAGAGGGAGTGGAAGGATTTATTTTGCTAAAATAGAGTTGGGGATAGAGCCGGTGTAAATCTTTGGGTTTTAAAAAAGAGGAGGAAGGAGGGGGAAGCTGCTTTCCCGGCAGAAAGCTGCCTAACAGTCCTCTAATTCTTTCTAGATTAAATCGCAATATGAATACAGCATCGAACAAATACCGAGTTTCGCTCTGAACTCAGTGGAAAGCAGTTACGTCTAACAGAATTCAATGAATTCCTCTTCTCCCTCAATGTAGTATGTGTGTGTTTTTCTCTTCCACCACACTGAAGTTCCATGAATAGGGAAAGTGGCTCCTATTGTGTGCCTCTGAACTTCCAAGTCAATGCAATTTTTAACCACTGGCTTGTGGTACTTTGAAAATCACCAGGGGCTGTCAGAGTTGGGTCCTCTGAAAAATTTACAGTGCTAAATCAGAGCATATGCTGTGAGAGAGGAAAAAAAATTGCTTAAGATTGGAGCAAGTACAGTATCTGGCTGCCCCCTAGTGTAAGTCTCTTATCTGCCTAAAATTCAACTTTAAAAGAAAAGGATCTCTTAAAGGGAAACGACTTTTGGCTCACGTATGCATACGAGAATGAAACTTCTGTACATTTTAATCTGATTAATTCCTAAGGATTTAAAATTAATTGGCTTGGGCACTGCTAGACCGGACTATAAGATTTCTGCAGCAGGGTTTCTGCGAGCCCTGGACCGAATAGGTATTTTTAAGGCATAGTGGTAAGGGATGGGGGGGGGTGGGGGGGGAAGAGAGAGAGATCCTGTTTTGTGATTTTTTTTTTTTTTTAAACGAGGAACCGTGCCTCGCACGCTGTTGTCAGAGCAAAACACTTTTGCTGCTTTAAGTCAGACCTGCGCCTTTTGCAATAATACAGGATAAATAATTGCATTAAAGCCAGAGCCGCGCTGCCAACCACACCTTCGGCGGGTGAGTATATTCCGGCTTCTTTCCATTGTACGTGCTCTGCCAGGGAAGCGACCGGAGGGGGAGAGGGGAATCTCAGCACCAGACCTTCCCCACCGACCTTTTTTTTTTTTTTAATTATTATTATTTTTGGTACCTAAAACTGCGGCCGCAGCCGGCGGCGCTGGGCAGGTGCCGCCTGCGCCCCCCCGGTCCGAGCCGTGCCCCCCCCCTTCTGCCGCCCCCTGCCCGGCCCGGCCCGGCTCGGCTCGGCTTGGCCTGGCATGGCCCGGCTCTGCTTGGCCCGGCTCGGCTCGGTTTGGCTCGGCCCGGCCCGGCTCGGCTCGGCTCGGGTCTCTGCCGCCGCTCCCCGCAGCCCCGGCCCCGGGCTCCGCGTCCCGGGCGCCGCTTTGGAAATGACTTTGAGGCGCTTTCCTGCCTCGGACCTGAAAGCCGGATTCCGGTCGTTGGGTTTCGCTCGCTTGTTTGTTTGTTTGCTGCTTGCTTTATTTAGCTAAAGGACGTGCTAGCTGCTGGTGCTGCAATTCCACCGAGTCGGGTCTCCCCCCCCTCCCCTCTTCCCCTCCTTAGAGCAACCCACGTAACCTTAGAAACGATCGTTTAAGACGCACGTTAGCTAACATTTGCTTTTTTGGATTTTTTGTTTTCCTTAAAAGAGAAACACAAGAATCACAACACATTGCCCGAAAAAAAAAAAAAGTGTCAAAGAAGAAGAAAAAAAACTATAAGTAAACATACCAAAACCATATTTGCCTTGTTCAAGGTCCCAAATCGCTTGCATCTTCCTTTTTCTACCTCTCCTTTAGTTTGGCAGGTGAAACAAACAAACAAAAAAAATAATCAGACCGCTGTTTGCCCCCCAGAAAGATGTGCGTTGGGTAATTAAAGAGAAGTCTCCTTCTTGGTGTTTATCTAAGCGATTGTGCAAACTGATTAAAAAAAAAAAAAAAAAAAGTAAAGTTACAGCCTTCAGGGGGGAAAAAAAAGGAGGCAAGGTGAAGGGAATAGATTTCCCACAACCTAAAGGGAAGTGCTTTCGATGTATTATTAGCGATCAGCCTTGGGAGAGAGAAAAAAAAAAATCCTGAACACACTCTAACTTTACACAGACAAGATTTCAGGGGGGGCTTTGTACATAGCTGCTTAGGAATGTGCGCCTCGCCTTTAAGAAAAAATCCCCAAGCCCAAGGTAGGAGATGTCTTTGAGTGATCCTTGTCTCTCATTTCATTCCTTAGAAGGAAGAGCGTCTCGCTACACCTTGTTTGGAGCTGGAAAGGCGAGACTTAAAAAAAAAAAAAAGAAAAAGAAAAAAAATCACAACCCACCCTTCCAATTGGGGAGAAAAAAAAATAAAGGGGGAAAAAAAATAAGAGGGAAATCTCCTAACTTAATGACTGTGGGGGTAGGATGGATGCGACCGATTTCAGCCCCCCCTTTCCCACCTCCCCCCTCCCGGGCAGGGAGAGAAAGAAAAAAAAAAAAGCCAACCGCAAACAACTACAGGCTGAACTATCAACACATGCACCGAAGGGGAAAAAATATATAGTGTCCTGTGTAGGGTCGGCAGGGAACGCAAGCACACGCTACAGCAAGTTGGGAAAGAATCCGAGCTAATCAGCAATCTCTTTCTCTCTCTCTCCCTTTCTCTTCCTCTCTCTCCCCCCCCCCCCCCTTTCACTGCCCCTGAGATCCCAGCTAGAAAGAGGTACTCCACATTTTTTCATTACCAAAAATCCGTTGCAATAATCATTTGTTGCTAATTGAAACCCTTGGAGACATTTTCCCCACCCCCTTCACAAACATGGCAACTTTTAGGCATGGCAAGCACGTTTGTTTTATTTTATTAAAAAAAAAAAATACGGTTCGGGGGAGGCTGGAGCCCTCAGCCACGAGGAATATCAGTTCGCCAGCCCCCTTCCCCAGGGGGGGAAACGGGACCCCAGTACAGTGAGGGCTTGGGAAAATTTGGAATACATTATACCGCCTTTGGCAGGAGAATACTCTCCAACTAATGGATTCCTGCTCCTTTTTGTGTGTGTGTGCGTGTATCAGTGTGTGGGGTTTCTGGAAAGAGGGGTGGTGGTCGTGGTGGTGGGGAGCCGAGCTTTTATTTTCAGAAACTGTTATGGTGAGAAGTGTGTCATACTTGACAAATGGAACAAACGCTCTTCCATTTCTTGCTTGTCCTTGCCTTAAAACAGGAATTAAGTTAACCACAGTGCTGCATGTTAATTGCATGTTTACTGGGCTAATGAAAATTACAATGGGGTTTTGCCACCAAGAACAGGGATGAAAAAGTATGGAGGCAATTGTCACCGCAGCCCTCGGGGAGGGCCGGGGCCGGGGCGGGGACGGCAGGGGGGGGGGGGCGGCCACGACCGATATCGATCAGAGGAAGGAGAAATCCTATAACTGCCCCTTACCACCACGCACAGGGGCTCCGCAAGTTCCTACTCCTGCTAAGTCCATCCAGCACCTGAAAGATGGAGACGTATCCCACTTGAATGAATTTTTCCTGTCGCCAAGGGGGTGCTGGCATCTGTGAGGGGGGGTCCTTCCCCTGCCCTCCTCGCCCCCCAGCCCCACGATGTGCCCCCCTCCTCGCAGGGGTCGGTGGTGAGGGGGACGCAGGGAGCACAGCCCCTCTTCTCGCCCTCTCTTCCCTTTTCCAAAAGCTCCTTTCCCTGCAGGGCTGGAAGGGTGGTGGTGGGGAAAGCCCGAAGGAGGGAGGTCGTGTGTCCCCCCAAATTTATTCTCGAGGTTCGTGGATGAAAGGATGACCTGGGAATTCAGCTGGGTGATAACCATTTTCGTGCCTGAAAACAAACTGCCAAATTAAAGCTAAATGGAAAGAGCAGTGGGAGAGGCAGTGGGAGCAGGGCATGCCGAGCTTGCCCCTACCTCTCTAAAAAGGATTGTTGGGTTAGGAGGGGGACACAATTAAATAGACTGAAGATGATTTAAATACCATCCACGAATAATTCCAGGGAGAAGTCTCCCCCCCGGTGCTGCAGAGCCCTGCATTTGAAAACTTTGGCCCAACTTGTGGCGATAGCTACGGCTCTGCTCCGCAAGGTCAGAGGTGAGGGCTATTTTAACCCTAAAAGCCTGCGAGTGACCAGGGCTGAGGCTGGGCTCGCAGCACTAATAGCCATAATTACCTCCTCCCTCCCTCTCTCCCTCCCTCCCTCCCAGGGACATTCCTCGCAGCAGAAACGTTAGACGCCGAATTGAAGAAAATCCTGGAGATGAACATATCTTGTGGAGGGGGTGTAAAGAGGGGAGGGGGGAAATAACAGCAATATGAAGGAATTTCAGAGCTCACCCTTTTGCTTGGGGGGATTGAAGCCTTTTTTTTTTTTTTTTCCTTTTTTTTTTTTTTTTTTTTTTTTTTTCCCTTTGCCAGCATTCCCAAGGCGCTGGGTCTTTGTCTTAGAAGGAATGGAGTGTCTGAATGGTGTGAAAGGGACAGAGAGGGTCGCTTCAAATCGATTTTACTTGTCCTCTCTGTCTTTTCGGATCAACGCCCTTCAATGGACACATAGGTGCTCTTTCAACCAAAAACTTGTGCAACATTTTCTGCCTGTATTGGTGCTAAATACAATAAATGCTGGGCAGATTTTTTTTTCTTTCTTTCCAAAGCAGAAAGCACCCTAATTAAATTGTTTTATATGGACAGTCAAGACAGACCAATTAAGTATGCATTAGTATAAAGATATATACGAGAGATAAGCGCTCTATAGGAGCCCTGTCTAGGCAAGGTGTGTAAAGCGTCCTCTCGAAGAGAGGATGTAAGCAGGTTTTCATATGGATTTTTCCCCTCCATTGCCTCCCATACCCGAGTAACGGGCTGAATAACCTCGCGGAAAGCCATTAGGGAAAGTGGTTTCTAAACAAAGTTAACAGGTGGATGGAGCCGGGTTTACATTCGGATAACAGGCGCCCGGCTGCCCAACCCGGCCCCGTGTCTTTGTGCGGGATCGGGGCTGCGGGAGCCCCCCCGCAAGGCTCCGGCACCCCGGGGGCTGCGCACCCGGCCCGCAACCGGACGCCCGCGGGGGCACCCGGCCAGGCGCGGAGCTGCCCCTGCGTGGGGAAGGAATCGCGGGGGGGCGCTTCCCAGGCCGGGCAGGGGGAGAGCTGCACGCACGCCCCAACTCCTCTTTCTGCCCGGTTTATCACCCTGGGAAAGCTCTCGTGGAGGGTCAGCCCCAGGAGCTGAGCTTTAAGCTCTTCTCCATTCCCATTTTTTTTTTCCCTTCGCTTCAGGTTTTCCACGTTGTTAGAAAAATAAAAAATAAAACAACCCAGATGAGAAACAACCCGAAAAAAGCTCTCAGCCCCAGCTCTGCTTCAGCTGAACCCGGGGCAGGCAGAGCCGCAGCAGAAGGAGGGCTGGCAGCCGGGGGGGCACCGCGCAGCCCCCCAAAACCCGGGTGCCCTCCAGGAGCCCGGTGCTGGGGATGCTGCGTGAAGGGAGCGGGGACCGGCCCCTGCCGTGGCACCGAGCTCCACGGCTGCCACCCGTGGGACAGGGGGGCGCAGGGAAGCCAAGAGCCCGTGCGACGGCTGCCTGGGTTGCCAATCCTTTTTCCAGCAGCGTTTTGGAAGCCCCAGACCACCAGAGAGGGGACAGGAGGTGGGGAAGAGCAAGGCAGTTCTTGCTTAGGTGGCTTAACGCTGCGGTAAACAGGTTGGAAAGAGCCGCTTTTACAGCCTCAATTTCTCTCCTCGCTGGTTACCTTCGAGGGTAAATCATAACAGGCAGTATGGGGGGCAAGGAATTCATCTGAAGGAGATCTCAGCAAGTCACTGCCCGGACAATAGTCCACCTCCTGTTGGGTTGCGTATTGATCAGCAGAGGAGCTGAAGATGTCGCCACACTAAATATTTACTGATCACACACAAATAGCCGGGACTTGAACGATTTTCTCCTGTGAGGAGAGCAGAGAGAGAAGGGTAAATCATTTTATTAGTGTGTATAAAGCAAAGAGCACACTCTGGCTTGGAGTGTTTTAAGATGTGTCTTCAGCTGGATGAAAAGAGTTAGGGAAATCGATATGGAGTGATTAGACGAGCCAGTCGTGTCAAAGAGAGAGGCTGTGAATTTCATGGATTTGGTTATACCGGGAGGGGGAAAATATAGTGAGAGATTAAAGGGAGGAACCCGTTGTAGCAGAGCCAATGAAAAAATAATATCTAATCAGACCCGGCAAAGGTAGGGACGGGATGAGACCCGCATTCCCAAGGAATCACGCCAGCTAGGGAGGACTCGGGGACACGCGTGAAAGGGGCGATCGGGGAGAGAGCAGGAGCCTAAAATGCTCCCGAGCAAAGAGAGGGGAAAGTCGCCACCAAAATGGGGACAAAAGAGACAAGAGTAAAGGGAAGGCGAGGGCTGGAGCAGGCGCCCGCCTGGCTCCGAGGTGAGGTGCGGGGTCGCAGCCCCCTGTTCCCCTCCAGGCAGGGAGGGCAGGCAGCAGGAGGAGGCACGGCCCGCGGGGGTACCAGGGGTGCAAACCCCTCTCCTCCCACTTTGTCCTCCCCTCTCCTCCCCTCCCTCGCCAAGCAAACGTGGCGAGGGAAATGGATTTTAGCGTTTAACCACCTCATTTTACCCACGTAATGACAAGGCTCGTAATATGTAATCTACAGATTACTGCCATTCGAGGGTGACCACAAGTGGCATTATATATAAAAAAAAAAATAACATAAAAAACATCAGCATTTCTGAAAATGACAAAATGCCTCAAATCATCCCGAGCTGGACGGGTGGGAGCCGGGGGGCCGCCGGAGCAGGGCACGCTTGGGGGAACTTTGCTGGGGACGAGCAAAGGTGGCAGAGCCAAAGGGCACGGAGCTGGGAGCAGGGCAGGGCTCTGCCCATCCACGTTAGATATGTTCTTTAGGGAAGCTCCGCTTTTCTTTTCTTTTTTTTTTTTTTTTTTTTTTTTTTTTCCTTTGCCTCGACTCGCTGCTCTTTGGGCCGTCTCCCAGCGCTGCCTGCTCTCCGCGCGTTTGCCTTTAGCTGCGAGGGGATGCGACAGCGGAGGGCTGGGGGGAAAGGAGCGACAGAGAAGAAAGTTTGAGCCGCGGTGTGAAAGCCAAAACAGCCCCCCCAAATTAGGACCCGAGCAGCAGGGCAGATGCTGGAGCAGCTTCCAGCCCCCATCCGAGCGTCCCTCTCCCCGAGCCGCACAGAGCCGGCCGGGCAGGGCTGGGGGGTGAGGAGAGGGTGACTTTTGGCCACCGCTTTAGGGGAGGGGGCCCAGGGAGTCTTATCCTGGCCCGTGGGCATCTCCCGTGGGGCCCCCACCCGTGCTCAGGACGGGCGCCGACTGCGCCTTTTTGGGGGGGAGCATTGGGTGTGGAGAGGGGGGGGAGTGATTGAGGCGATGCGCTCAGGTGTGAGGCTGCGAGGGCCTGCGAGCTCTTTGGCGATCAGCCCCTAACCTCCTTACCTAATTCCTTAGATTGCAGATAGGAAGAGTCTGACCCCGGAGGTCGGGAAGAGCTGGGTTTCATTAACCCTTCCCGCTCCGGCCCCGCCGCGGGTTAACGGCGCTGGACGGGGGGGGGGGGCGGGCGTGTGCCGGGGCGGGGGGCAGGGCGAAGGGGTCAGGGGGGGCTCTGCTCCCCCCAGCCCAGGGCAAAGGGGGCTCAGGGGATCGGCTCCGCTTTCCCGGCACCGGGAGTTGCCCGAGGGACTGCCACCGGGCCGGCAACGCGTTCCCTTCACACCATTCCTGATTTTTTTAAAAAAATTATTATCATATTTTTTGAATCGTTTTCCAAATGGGAGGAAAGGCACCAGTCTGGAAACGCCACATATTGCAAAAGGCAAAGCGGGCTCCATCTTTAGGACCAGCACCAATCTCTTTAGCTTGTCCACAGTCGAGCTGTAAGCTTTAAAGATTAAAAAAATAATAATAATATCCAGGCAAGCTTCTCGGGCTGTATTTGGCTTGTAACACACCTGGTTTATATTTTAATAGGTAGTTACACTGTATTGATTCAGGGTACATCATTGATGTTGAAAGTTAATAACTCTCAAATTATATCTATCTGCCTCCATACATAATTGCATACACAGTAGAACACTGGAAGAATTTGCATTTTGCTGCACATTCTTTGTTCTTAAATCTTTTAACACATTGAATTGTTCCTTTGAAGAAAATGCTATTGAACTGCATGTTTAAGGAAAAGATGCTTCTAAACTATATGTTTAAGCAATGAAATTGTTGAGTGAAATACAGGTTTCTTTGTATTTCACACAAACCTTGCCATCCGCCAATCTTAACCTATACATCTGAAATGCTTTTTTTTTCCTCCTTTTTTTTTTTTTTTTTTTTTCCTTCTTCGAGTCAGAAGGCAGAAATATGTGAACTGCCGAGAGAGGTGGGTACTTTTTGGTAAGTATGTTTAGATATGATCTTCAGATACATTTATTGTACTTTCAAATTCTTTGGATACTAATTGAGCTAGCAAACAATATCCCAGCTGAATGTCCCAACTCCTTCCCTATTTAACAAGCGCTTAATATAGATTTATATTGTAGCCATCCATCTAGTGAACAATATAGCTGAGCAGTCAACAAAAAATAAAAAAAATGTTAAAACCAAATTATACATGCTGCCTTATTTCTGACTCCTCTTCCTTTCTGCACCTCTGAAATTGAACTCTTTACAGACTATATATATATATTTAATTTCTGAGTGACAGATCAAAAATAATTTGCAGAATCAGAAGTGGATGGAAGTTTCAAATAATGTCTCTAAATATTTCATATTCTTACTTATAATACCAGCCCACCAGCTGTAAAAAGGAACCATTCCTTTTTTTTTTTTTTTTTTTTCTCTGCTAGTTTAAAACTACAGAAGGATAGATTATTTAGGCTGGCAGTTCCTATTTTCCAGGGCCTGCCTCAGAGATGACATAAATAGAGATTGAATGATCAGAAAAACAAAACAAAACAAAACCCAAAATAAAACCCAAACCCTGGACAGGAATAGAGACAGACAGCTATATAACTGCATCTGAACAATGTTACATACTGCATTAGGGGGTGGTCAAAAAAAATAGATTGCATATTTATAACCTCATAATTAAAATACATCCTTATCTCTCTCCTTTGAAAGGTTGCAGCTTTCTTGGAAGTATTTTGAGTGCATATTTTAAGCTCCATGTCCTGAATTGAATTAAGATGAGCTGTTTTGCCCAATACTAAAATACCAGTTTGCAATTTAAGGTTTAAGTTTCAACCACCTATCAGTCACTCTATCATTTTCTTTGTATTTTTCTCTCCTTATGTTCGCAGACGTTATATAAAATGGTGTTAGTTTATATCAGATTCTAATTTCTGCGTGCAAGAAATTAGTTGATATCATCCAAAAGAATTGCTTGTGTTTGACGGAGGTAAATTGGATGAGAATTTTTCACATGCAAACAGAGTTCAAGCCAAACCGAAAACTTTAAAGCAAAGGGATACCAGCAAACAGTGAAAAATGGCACGTCTGCTCCCTCTTGACAAGCTTGCATTATATCACATGCTAGGAAACAGAAATTTCTGAATCTAAGACCACTTTTAGTTTTTAATAGGAAATAATTACATGGAACTTTATTTCCAGAGAGAACGTCCCTTCCAGCTACAGAGTTCTGCTTTGATCTGAGTATTAACTGGTAATAAAATAACCATATTTTGGATCCCGAGCATATTGATGCTTAAAGGAATGTTATGCTTTCAATCAAACTCTAACTTCAGATTATCCAAAGGTATTCATCCTCCCTTTGTCAGAAACCAATTTGTTCTTTTACTCCAGCAACCACTCACACGTGTTTTGCTATATTTTGTCATTTTATAGTAGAATTTGCACTATCGAGGCGGAAAACTTCTACATGCAGTGAGATCATGTTCCAGCCTGGCAATTTGTGCTGCTTAGCACACAGTCCCCCAGCCAGGCTATTCTTTGCACTTGTTGTACTCCACCACCATCGCTCATCTCAGAGAGCGACTACTGCAAATGCCTTCTAAGCAGGGTTTTGTTTTAAATCTCCAGATTGGTATTTTATTTTATTTTTTTAGTTTTATTTTTTACCTGGCGAATCAATCACTGGGACCCATCCCGAACAATTAACCTCCTCTTTATATGACGGACCCAAGCACAGCACTTCATAAAGACATGAAAAGGACATCCCAGACACCAGGACCCGAGCCCAGGCTTGTCACAGAGCATAAAAGGAGAGCGAAGGGGAGTTTTTATCTCTTTGCCCAGCAAACTCTTAACAGGTCTAAGTTTCGGTGTGACAATAAACCAGTTTTGATAACGCAGCTCATGGGCTTCTCTGCCACATAAAGTTTTCTTAATAATAAAAAAGAAGAAACTTTATCCCTGCTAAATTAAAATAGGGCAGATGTTGGATATGGTTCGTATTAGCCAGCCTTTCACCCCTTTGCCCCTGGCACTAAAGTTCTGACTTTTGCTTTATACCATGTCTGTTTCTAACTGGAAGGTATTAGTCCTGCCCTCGCTCTCTTCTCGTATTTATTTTTTCAGTGTCTAAAATTAAACCTATTCATTTAGCAACATACATTCTACTTCAGCTTGCTAAACCTGGCCAGGGAGGGGAAACTTTTTCCAAAAAGTGATGCACCACTGACCTTAAAAGAAAACACAAGGCAGGGAAAGCTGTTCTTAAAAGGTTTATTTCTAGAGAGTTTTGTAGCTCTGTTGACATTACAGGGATAATGGCTGTATTGCAACGGGCTTTCAAGGCCCAAGAGGTTTACGTTTGCTTCTGACCATAAGTATAATAAAATTTTAAAGGTGCAGAAAGTTTCATCACTTTAGATATTTAAAACTAGATTGGAAAAAACCCTTGGGAACCACACATTACAGTGGGCAGCCCTGCTGAAAAAGAAGGGCATAGGCAAACTTAAAAAAAACCCACCAACATCCCCCCCAACCCAAAGAAAAAAAAAAAAAAGCCCCAAAGCCCCAGCTTTTCCATGCTAGCTATATGAAAATCCTGGCTGTTAAGCTACTAGGATAGTGCAGCTCTTTTCTCCAGGGCTGCGAAGATAGAATTTATTGTCCATTTGGAGCGATCAAGTTTAGGCTAATAAAAGGCCCTCTGTAAGCAGAAATGCCAAAGTTGATGTTTGGCGTAGTTTTCAATGGCGGAGTTTATATAGGATGGGGCTCTGCACTATTTGAAATTACTCATATCTCAGCAGCTGAAGATGATTTGACATACAGAAGTAAACGATAGTAGGCAACGGCTGGAGGTTAATCAGCCTTGCTTTCTGAACTGGACATCTGAAAGCAGGAAAAGTGAAAGCTGCTCTCTCTATCCCTTCCCTTTTCTGAGGCGCTGCTAACTTTTATGATTTTTTTTTTTTTTCTCTTCTTCTTTTACTATCTGTCTTTGTGCCTGAGGGCCAGTGAAAGAACACTGCAGATTCTAGATTGCTTTCAGAGTTTCCCTTTGCTGATGATGGATTACCATGTCAATTTAAACGGCATAGGATTAATTTGTTTCAATGATTTCTCTTTAGGCTGAATGCCAGTCTTTTTTTTTTTCTATCTCTCTCCTTGCTCTTCAGAATAATAATAATAATAATAATAATAAATCCTTAAAAACCCCAAACGCTTTTGATATCCCACATTAAAAAGACAATAATAGAAATAGACAAGTTAGGTGTAATGTTGCAACACAGTTATAGGTTTGAGTGTTTTTATCTCATTCTAAGGGGCTGAAGCATACAGTCAGTCACATTAAAATGAAATTGGATCCAACGTTTATTCAATAAATACTTGTCTTGTAGGTAATCCAGAGCAGAGTGCTTTTGACACATAAGGACTTAATTTGTCTTGGATAACAAGTTATTAATATGGCACATTTAAACTTGCCACCTACAATAAGGTCATTTAGACCTATAATATGACTCGCGAGAGAACTTCATAAAGCCAGAAACAAAGTTTGAGGCTGCCTTGGCGTGGGGCAGTGCTGCTCCCAGAGCAGGCACGCAGCTCGGGCTCCGCTCTCTAGGAAGAAAGTTCAGAGCAGGAGAACGCACCCAAGGCCAACCAAACGGTTCGCATCTGCTCTTCTCTGAAAGGCGAGTGTAAATGGAGTAAAGAGGAAAAAAAGAACCCAAACACACAGTTTTGAATGAGTAATCTCGAAAGCTGTGCTGCGTCTGCTAGCAAACTCATCGCAGCTTTGTGAGTGAAAAAAACAACATTTGGTTCCGAGGGGAAATTCGCCCGCATTTGCACCCTGCCTCATCCATGTGCTTTGCAATTTTCTTGCTTTTAATAATAAGCGAGGAAGTTGGAACATAATCCACCCATAAATGTTATTGCAGTAATTTGACTGCGCTGTGTTTGTTCATGCATTAGCCGTACACGTAAAGAGAAGTGGGGCTGTATGGTGGTGATCCTCCCACAGCCTGAACAAACAGAGATGTTTTGGTATATATTGGATTTCAGACCCCGAATACTTTGCAATAGCTTTAAAATTTGGAAAGCTGGAGTTGGGGTGTTTAGTTTCAGACCTTGCCTAACCTAACCATGCCTGCAAGAGTCCCAGCAGGACAGGAACACGGGGGGCATGCCGCACAGGACACAGCTTGTGGCTGGCAATTCCTTCCCCACGCTGCACATGTGAGCATCACTGTGCTGCTTTTCGGTATTAAGCTCTTGATTGCTCTTGCCCTGGCAGATTCTGTCTCTTTAAGTAACTAAATCTCATTTTTAAGCTCTTCCTGGGAAAAGGATGTTACACATGAGTAGAAAAATGCAGGCAAGAAAGGCTAATTGAATGAAAAGAGAGAATTAGGTTAAAAATAGAGTACAATCTAGTATCACATTTTCACTAGTGTAACCTGAAATGAAGGTGTCTCCAAGTCCCTAGTGATGCCAGAGTGTTTAGATGTTGGGCACAGATGGAGACACCTATTGAAATGTGTCTGAAGAAGATTAATAGGACTTGTCAGTGTTGGGAAAGCACTGCTTTGCTGTAAATTTCTACTAGCACAAGATGAATTACCGATGAATGCTCAGTTATCAACCCCATCACTATCATTGGACACTAAATCAAATTGAGCAGTTATCTACAATCAGAAAATTTCTTTTAAAAATAGGCATACACCTTTAGGCTTAAACTCTTTAATAAGACAATAGTCTCGATGGTATGTGTGTGTTCGCTAAGGGATGCATTTTAAAGTTCCTACACAAAAAGCTTCTGTTCTGAAACGAACTCCGAGCTTAGTGTGAAATCAGGCTTGTCAAACAATAGAAGATATTCAGAAAATACTGGTTGCATGATATAATGTTCTGCTGGGGGCTGGATCCAAAACACATTTTCAGCCGTGTCATTAGATTTTGGATCAGACCCTATTTGTGAATGGCTTTTTGTCATCACTCCTATCCCTTTATTTTTGGTGCTGGTAAAAAACTTCTCTCTACCTTAAAGACTGAGCATCCTAATCATGTAGTAATGCAAAGTAGCTGTCAAGGCGCGGGGTGTAAGTAAAATAATAACATCCCCCCTCCCCAACATATTTAGGAAATGACAGCTTAATGTAATGAAATATGTGATGAAAGAATCAATGAATAAAATTTTACCTAGGAATATTTCTTTTTACTCCTTTAAAAAGGGGAAACTGTCACAAGGAAAGCTATCACAAGCATTCACCAGCCCAGTGATAAAGCATATTAGCTGCATTCACCGTGTGATGCTGCTGCTGACAATGATGTTAAATAAGCATTACATATTTTTAGTTTCTAGGACTTCTCTCCCTCTCACCCAGGCATGGCACTGCTTTATCCAGGGAGATTTATCGTGGCATGTTTTCAGAAGTCAATTTTTCCCTTTTATTATAGACAAGGGCAGTCATTTATGTTTAGGGAGGGAGACAGGTACAGTGCCTTTATCTGATCGGTGTCCCCAGCCCCAGCCACCTTCTTAATCGACGGCAAATTCCCGCTGTGCAGGATCAGGCCCCCTCCGGGCTCCTTCTCAGCCAAGGAATGTATCCTTCCCTTCTCCTCCACATATCTTACCTGTGATGTATGCTACTTTTCGAGGAGGGAATAATATGCCATTTACCACAAAGCACAGCTTCAAAGCCTTTGTGTGTTTTGCATCCCCAGCCAAAGCTTTTTATTTACCACCTTAAGAACGTAACCGGCTAAGGGATAGTAGCCGTTATTGTCTTCATCTTTACACCCTCATTTTCACGCAGCAAACATCCCATATTAGGGCCAGATTCTCACTCAGATGGAAGTTATTAACTTTAAGCAGAACGGAGCCGATTTCAGCCAGCCGCAGCCCGTGCCCTCCTAACACAGGCTCTTTAAAGCATCTCCTTGTTCTTTTTTTTTTTTTTCTTTCTTTCCTTTGGAGGGCATGAGTCTTTAAACATGTTTGTTTTACAGAAAGTGGTGGTCGATTTCTAACTTATTTTCCCCAACAAACATGGAAAGAGAATATTAACAGGGAATATTAATAGAGCTGAGTGCGGCACGGTGCTAGTTAGCTTGTAGTAGCCGAGAAATATGAACTAGTGAACATAATCCATAAACTCCATTTGGTTACTATAATACTCCAATCTGTATTTATTACAACCCCACTCTGATGCTTATACAACTGCAATTGCTAGATTTATACACTCTAATGGTTTCACAATAGGAAAAACCTGTGTTCTTTATCTTTCTTTTCCTGTCCAAAATAACCCCTTCCACATATACTTCAGGCTTCCCTGGACCTTGTCTGGGTTTAATCACAGGCTGTGGGACAAAATGTGCATTATTAAGAAATATAAATATTTTCAGAAGCAATCAAAGGGTTGAAAGATTGATTCGGCATGTAGATTGGATTTAATTCGAAGCAGCTTTGTTCTAATGAGGACTACTGGGATACAAAGACAGCAGCCGCTTATGGCCACCAGTTGGGAGCTTGGATTCACTGCAGTAACCTGTCAAGAATTTCACCCAACTGCCAGGTATTAAACAGCAAAGTGTGGGGGAAGGTGATTTTCAGCATCCTTCGTCAGGGGCTGGATTAGGATTTCAGATCCCCTGCTTTACCGAAACAACAATTCCGGCTAATTTCTCACTGCTCACAGGGACAAATCCTGCAGTCCAAAGCTCCCACTGACTTCGGTGGCCACTTTGCCCAAAGGCAAGGTGGTAAAACTTGGCTCAGCAGCAAGTGCAGCAAACCCCAGAGCTCTGCAGCAGTTTGCCCTGGTGCGTCTGCTTTTGCAGTGACTTTTTCTTAGATTTCGCTACCTGCACTGCAAGATATGTCGGGACTCTTATTTTAATTTTATTTATTTATTTTTCTTGCATAGGGAGGTGTTTTTTTTTTCCCTGCAAAAGTGAAATGCAGCTCACTGTTGGCTTGGAAGCTTGTGTCCTCGATGGGTGACCCAGCAGAACTGCCATGCTCATCCTGCATCCCAGGGAAAAGCCTGCAACGTCCAACAAAGCATCCTTGGAGAGGGAGCTGAGCAAAAGGGGACACTCCTCCACTTTGCCCTCAGACTTTAAAAAAAAAAAGAAAAGTAAAATTTCTGTGCGTGCTGCAGGGGGGTCACGTCACAGGTACTTGGGGAGCGCAAGACCCTGGCAGCTTTCCTAAACGTTGAACGTACAGTCGGAATCACAGCACACACAGGATCAAACACCGACTAGTTTCTCCCTCCCCTTAGCCCCCCCTTGCCTACTTTTGTCCATAAAAGCAATAGAAAGAGAGAAAGCTTGAATTTTCTGAACTGTTTCACCCATCCACAGCTGGAATTCCAAAGTGAAATGAAAATGCCTTTAAAATCAACCCTACATGGGAGCCTGAGAGAACAAGTTTTCCTTTGTTGTAGGGTATAGTATTATTTGCTGTAGGTTTTTGATATACATTCTAAATTAGGCCTGCAAAGGAATGCTTCATCTTTAATTCATCACTCTCAGCTGAAAGAGATTAGCAATGTCTAGCACGCACCCTTCGTATGGTGCTGACCTCATCAAGTATGGCCTGAAATTAATTAGCCTCATTCATTCCAAATGGAAAAGGATAATGGAGCTGCATTTTAGAGATGACCATCACAAATTGTATGCAGCATATTTAAAATCCCTCCCCCCTCGCTCCCCTCCCCATTTAAAAAACTATGTAGATTAAAATTCTTTCCAGAACTTGCAATATGTCAGAGTTATCAAGGCATTGGGAGCAGAAACCACTCCGTTTTTATTTGTGGAACTGGGAGCCACGTTTTGTGTGTGTGGCTGTAAAAGCAGCAAGTCTGTCTTAATGGCAGAACACCTGGAATTAATTTGATATTTCCAGGTGCTCTGGAAAACTGGGGCATCAAGCACTTGATGTTTAAACATTCTTCCACCCGCTCACTTAAATCAATATGAAAGTGGTGTCCCTTTGTCATTCATACATGCAAAGTGCTAGCACAAACTCCAGCTTGGCTTCAGAGTCCTACATCACTCATAATCTAATTAGAAATCAGAGCAGAGCTGAAGCAGCATTCTTTGTGGATTCTTGGGCAGCAAATAGGGATACTTGTCTTTTGTTTCCCTCCCCGATTGCATCGTTCACAAGCTTTCACACCACATCTCTAAAGGTGGTTAGGTGCCTCAAGATGTTGACAGGCATGAAGGACAAGATTATTTAGGTATTTAGGTGCCAACCCCGGGTGATTTCAAATGGAATTAAGCAACTGGATGTTACTGGGTGAAAAAAAAAAAAAGAAAAAAGCTTCCAATGCAAACGAAAAGCTCTAACCTTAAACACGACTGTTTTTTTTTTTTTTTTTCTTTTTTTTTTCTTTTCTTTTTTTTTTTTTTTTTTTTCCCCACAGTAGTATTGCCCACAGGGTGATTTAACAGAAGTCTGCTGATTTTTACCATGGTCCAGCACTTAGCTTTGTGCAGTGCCTCTGTGGCCAGGCACTGAGCTGCCCTGTGCTCTGGTTGCTTCCCCAGAGACAGGGAAAGCAGCAAAGGATGTGGGGTTTCTCCCAGGATTTTGGAAGATGCCTCAGACAGTGGTGAGGAGTGGGCCAAAACCCAGGTCCAACCTGGATTCCTCCCTCTGGGTACTCCTCTCGCCAGTGCTGACTGCTGATGGATCACAGCAACATGGATATTCCCCTCTCCTTGCTCCCCAGCAGCAGATCGCCAGGAGGCCCTGAAAGAATCCTGTGGGTAAGAGACATGTTTTTCCTCACACCAAGTAATGCCTTTTGAAACTCTGGATTTTGAAATGGCAAGGTCAGAATGGTGCCTCCAATGCCAGGGGCTGGAGAACACCCCTGCAGACTATACACCAGAGGCTGGATACACCGGGGAAAGTTTCTGAGAAAATTGACAATTAATTATTCCTTTTTAACAAATATTTGTCTTCCAAAGACTCCATTCATTAAGGCTGCCACTGAATCCAGGATTGAACCTGTTATTATTAATCCTAAATTAATTCACATTTGTCTACCATGAACAAAGCTGCTGGCCATCTGATAATCCTAACTTGCTCGGGAAGAAAGAATGAGCAAATGTTATAAGCAGCAGGTGAAATCATACCACAGTTATTAAGCCCTCTTTCAGGGCAAGCACAGGATAGATTAAATTGTTATGTTAGGCCATGTTGTGAGCCCACGTCAATTTTGTTTGAGATCTTATCTTAGCTGAGAACTGTTTCCTCCTAAATTAAACTAAATGCTGAAGACATGAGAAGCATATTGACCCAAAGATTCAAAACTTTGGACTCAGCAGCCTTCTGATCTTTTGTCCACAGAGTATCGAGTTGTAAAGCTGCAGAATATTAAATAATCATGATTATATTCAACTTGCCTAAATTCATTTGTCGTACGGAAACACTGGCACGGATTTTCCTTACTGTTTTTTTCAGAACAAGTTGTTGATTCTGCCTGAAAGCTGGTTTCATTTGCCACAGATCTTACAGTCTGTGGTCCTACACTTATATTAAGTCTCATGCACTAGCCAGGCATGGTCATTTATTCTGTCTCTGGTGCTCTTAATCTCCCTTTGCCAAACCCCATTGTCCCATACATAAACAACCCAAATCTTACAGCCACAACGAATGAGCTATACTGGTACTTCATTCAGCTGTTATCATGCACAAGCAGTTCTTGAGATTCAGAAATGCACTGTAATTCACCTGGGATAAGAAATCAGATTTAAAAATGAGCTGAACAGACATTTTTAGGAATAAGTAAGTTTCTAAATAAACCAGCTTTTTAATTCTGCCTTTTCTATATTAGTACTGTAAATCAATATAGTCTGCACTTGGAGGAACCCAAATGAGTTTGAATTGTCATAATTAAATATTGTTCTATTTCTCCCAGCACAGCCAAACAAGGAGTTTTACTCCTGACACAAGACTTTTCTCAAGTAGGGACAACTTACTAACTTACTACAGCAATGATTTAAGCTCCAAGTGGTTCCACATTTTTTAAGAAAACAAATCATCACCAAAATGCATAGCACAACTCATCCCTGGTGTCAAGCACTGAAGAGATGGAATAATAGAAGAAGTAATATTATATAGCTGCTTTTAAAGGCAAATATGATGACTGCACATTAAATAATGTGATCTACCCAGCTGGACTTCCAGTTATGTACAGGAAAACCGTGTTCATCCATCACTTCACCCACCTCAGCTATAACACTGGTGAATGCCCAACTGGTGGGCATTAATACTAAGCCATAAGTTGGAATGGGAAGAAAAGGGGAGTGAAAAGCTGTATATTAGCTTAGACAAGTGTGATGCCATTGCCAGGCTGAATTCATTGATGACACCAGGCATTAAGTAAATAAATCTTTACCTACTGAAGCAACAGTTTGCTGCCTTTCAGGAACGACAGCCAGGAGGCAATGCAGCAGATTTACAACAGCAGGTATCAACGCACTGGCTGGAAGCCCTGAGCACAATACTGTGATTCAAAATGGAAGCACACCTTTACCCTGAAAAAAAAAATTTTTTCTTATTTCAGTCTCATTGCAAATGTTCAAGAGTTTGGGTTTGATCTTTTTGGCTGGGGTAAGGATTTCTGTCTGTGAAGTATTGAGCACACAGAGCCAGCCATTTGGGGATTTTCTATTCTCACTTAGCAAATACTATGGAGATGCTCAATGGCACAATGGGGGGGCTGTGTGGGAGGTCAGGCCCTTCTGTGGGTTCTGGTTTGCTCCAGACATATGTTACCTATAGTGGTTTCTCCTAAATTGTTGGACACTGACTCCCCAGTGAGCATGTGTGTTGGAACTATCAGTTTGTCGAGTAGCTATTGCTGGTTTTTACCAGCAAGGTAAAATGAGGTACATTATTTGGCTCCTCTTCTGTAAGATTTTCTTCCCATACATCTTAATGCCACCATCCTTTTCCCTTAATAACAACATAAATGAGTACTCTATTGGTGTAATTACAATAACGGTTCTTTTACTGCAAATACTAGAAGCCTGTAACCTGTAATTCACTTTTCCTGATACTCCTTTATTCTAACACTAGACATGTTATTTTAAAATGTCTGGGACCTCAAAGCTAAGTTTATATAGTGATATGTATGAGCAATGGGAACTAAGCATCCTCCTTAGCCGAGGCTTTAGAACTAAGCAGCATCTCTTTGCCAACTGGAGCTTAGTTCACCCACCAATACCATAGCCACCACTCCCACCAGGGCTGCAGTGTGAGAGTTAAGCAAGAGGAAGCATCTCTGTTTTAAGGTAACAGCCTATGAAAGACTTACTAGCCAGCAACAAACCTTCTTTTGCATTAGTCCACAGTAGATCCAGGTGCAATAAGAGTCTTTGCTCTCTCTATCGTGAATCTGCCATTCCTTTTGTAACACCAGCTCTCCTTCTCTTTCAGGGATGAACCTAAGAGTCTGGAGAAGTGCTACATGGCCTGTGTCTGTCCTGGGTCCTCCTCATCAGTGCCTTGAGCTGTGTGAAGCCCCAAGAACCAAGCCACCGCCAAGGGCATGACTGGGTGCTTGCTCCTGTCACGAACCATACCTGAAGTACAGCGCCAAGGTTCATCCGTAGCTTCTGCAAGTAGGAGCACTTTCTGTAGGCTCACATTAGTGTGCAGCCCACACTTTGTGTAGGCTCACTCTAGTTTACAGGTATAGTGTTGGTGATGAGCGAGACAATAATGTAAAGATAACCCATGCAAACCCTTTTCTAGAACTGACATTGTTTCATCACTTTCTCTATTTTCTGGATGAAGCAGCCAGCACAAGGAGGGCATGCTGACACACATCCCACTCGATAGTTGAAAAGAACAAACTGACAAATGTTTCTAATTTGCTGAAGTTTATCAACATCCCAGTGAATAACGGGTGAATGATATTTTCCTTTGGCTATCCATAGATGTACATGGAAATGCTGATAAACTGACACTTAGTCCAGGGACTGTACAGAAATATATCAGATACAATATTCCTAGTGAAAACCTTTATGGAAAGTGTTTCTGCCCCAAGCCCCTGCCGGGAGACACACAGTGATGCTCCCTGAGACCTGGCAGCCCTTCGAAGTGAGCATATGGCCCGCCCAGCTCTTGCAATACCACTGCATGGTGAGTAAACATGCTGCAATATCAGAGCAAGCAGTGGGCTGGTTAATAGCAAGGAGTTCTCTGGCTCCTTCCAACTTTACCGACACTTTGGGAATGGATTCCCTGTCTCTGCTGCTGAGGTGAGCACCGTTTGCAGAACAGGCAGGAGAAAATGGAGATGATCTCTTTGGGGGCAGGTGGTGTTTGTGGCCCTCTCCCATATAGCTGCTGCTGCAGCAGAAGACTCCTGGTGTGTTAAGGAGATGTGATTTCTGATGGACCAACATTGCCTGCTTTATTTTTATTTTTTCTTTTTTTTTTTTTCTTTTTAAGATTCGATGTTACCTGCAAAGTAACGAGAGGAGGGACCTGAAGGTAAAACCCCTACCGTTGGTGCAGGTGTTGAAGGGCAGATCAGTGGCTGCAGGAGCTGCATCTCTGAGGCAGCTGACAAAGCCAGGCTGGTCGGTGCTAGCAAACAGATCTGGTCCTGCCCCTCCGCTTCTTGCACTGGCAGAACACGGCACTGAAATCACTGGAGCAGGGATCGGGCCAGGAATGAGCGGCTGAGTTGCAAAGCAAATTAATTCCTGCCAAAAAAGTTCAGCTATGCTCAGAAGTATGTAAAGTGTCTGATTTGAGAAGTGTCAAGTAGCATTTGTGACCAATTATCCAAGATGAAGGGGGCAGAGCTATGTTTACATGTACTAATCTTCAGCCAAAGTTTGAAAACTCCAATTCATGGACACGCATCAAATTTCCTTTCCAGGCTTGGCATTTGCCTGTACGCACGCACGCACATTGCTCGGGGATGACAGGAAAACATGATTACGACTTGCAAATAATACAAATAAAAAAAAAAAGTGAGGTGAGCTGCCATGCAGCAGCAGCATGGTAATTAAGCCTATACTATGATAAGTGGGGGGAAAAAAAAACACAGACTGCTGTATGAGTAAAATAGCTTTATCAGCTGAGCTGAAATATTATGGGTGATGTCTCTGCATTGTTATTTTCCACAACCTGTGAAGCCCTGGGAAATGATCTACACAAAAGAATAAGAAATGAAAGCTGCCTCTGCCATCTTCTGTTTAATTAACACAGGTATACCAATTTAATGCAATTAATCAAGATAGTAGGGATTAAACAGTAACTCACAGTGGGCAACGACAATGTTATCAATGCTATGGGCATAGAAGGGCTAGAAAATGATTGTGGTGACTGGAAGCACTGTGGGCACGAACAAGCTGACTAGTTTTGGGTGGGTTTCAGGGGTTTGTGCATATCTATTGAAACTTAGGAGCAGCTGATTTTTCATATGGCTGAGTGTTTTTCTGCCCTGCCCTTCCCTTTCCCCTCTCGGACCTTGCAGGGTAACCCCCAGAGCAGCAACAACTTTTAAAGTGATTCCTCTTTCTTCTAACAGGTTCCTGATGCCAAAGGTCTGACCTTAAAATGAGCAGCACACAGGGCAAGAACGGGCACTGCAGCGAGCTCCTGGCCTTCAACCCTTCCACACACAGCTATTTTGGTAACCAGAATGCTGTAGTCATGTTGGGTAAAGGAATAGAGAGGGATTTCTCAGCATATTAACTCTACCAGTGCTGGATGCTGTGTCCCTATATAGGTTTCCTGCCTCTATATAAGACCTTAAGGGCAGATTTTCAGAAATCTTTGTATTTCTTGCCTGCAGGAGAGGCACAGCCCCATTCAATACAATGCTACTCTCCTCATTAATGTTCATCAGGGCTTGAAGTACTGGGACCACTGCTGCTGGCTAAGAAGATGGCTAAGTTTCCTGGGCTCATTCTCTTGGCTTAAGAAGGTTAAATTGGGTGATAATGAGTAGTAACTGTGCCCCTTTTTACAGTGAGGTAGACACTTTCCTTCTAGTAAACAGACAGGGAGATGAGCCTTCTCATCTCGCACAGGTCACCGGGCAGCCGGGATGGTAAGGGTTATTCGTCGTTTACCAAACTGTTTGACTTGGTTCATGGGTGAGAGATGTAAAGCAATGTATTGTGCTACCAGTCCCCAGGGCCAGCCAGTCCCCCTAAAGCAGCATTTTATTTAACAAGGCAACTGCTGGCCCATGGGAACCAGGGAGTTAAGGAAGAGAGGACAGTCACAACTGTAAATGCTTCCTTCGAGCAGATGTCTTAAAGCCGCCCTGAGCCTCACTGCTTCAGTGCTGCAATAGGTGCTCCAGAACACTCAATGGCCAGAATGCTTTTCCCATAAGTTATTCCCCTTCTTCCCACCAACATTTCCATTAGGTTAATGCAGTGTTTCTCTCTACCCTGGTCTGTTTTGCTCCATCTTGCTGGGAGATGTCCCTTGCTGTTGCAGTGTGAACCACGAGATATTCGGAAGTTGCATTTGTTGTTTGCTAGTGTTACTTCATTGTGGTAATAATGCATCTGCTGAGTCAGCTTTTTTTTTTTTTTTAAAATTTAATAGTCAATTTCCCACAAGCTTTTGTTGCCCAGTTCCTGCCAATAGCCAGGGAACAAGCAAAAGTCATCACAGAAAATGAGCAACTAGTAGGTAAGTGAACAGATGAGTAAATGCAGGCCATTCATGTGACAGGATCCAATTCATTTTTGTGCCAGGTAGATTTTTTAAATGGGACTTCTCCCAGCGGAGAGCTCACACTGCTCAAGGCCTGCTTCACTAAAAAGACAACACAATTATTCAGGGTTTATTATTACTTTTTATCACTAGTTTTCCAGCCACCAGGAGCAAGGGCAGAGGTGAGATCAGGACCCAGTTTACTGCCACTGTACACACTGTACAGTACGCTTTGCCCTAAAAGCCCTATAAAAGGTGCTATCTGCTTCACGTGGCTGACAAACACACCCAGGATGAGGACCAGGTGAGTCTGAGTGCAGAACCCATCAGAAGAAAAACCAGGAACCCAGCCCGAGCTTCTGTCCTGGGATCCTGATGCCTCTTGGTTCCTTTAAAAAGTAAACCTTTACATTTTACTTTTGTTTGAATCACCAAAATGATCAGTTGAATAAATGCTGCATCCTTTAAAACATTATTTATTGTATTTATAGGAAATATTATCCCAAGCTAGTGGAGATTATTAAGAGTAATAAACTCATCAGGAAAAAATGTAGGTTGGGTGTGACTGAGGAACTTGTATTTTATCCTGCAGTGCCACCGCAATCCCTGGCTGTGCAGTCCCGGGATCTTCTGCTATCCTACTCTCTGCTTTCAGGCTGTGGTTGAAAGAGCAGCTTTCACAGAGAAATGTGAATACTATTTTGGGGTAAGTGGATTTTTACTCAATTTGGGTTTTATGTAATGTATGAAGTCTGTACAAAGCCCAGCATTAATCCCAGCCTAGTTGTGAAAACACGTTTTGGACAACCTTGTCCAATCCCATAAAGCATACCTGTGTACCGCAGTGGTACCTGCTCCATTTATATATTATTATTATAATAATTATTATTTTTTTGCTAGGTCAGCCCTTTCAGAGTTCACATTTAATTTGTAAAGGATTCTGTATCACACATCAGTTGTGCTATCTCTCTACCTTCTGATCAACTGAGAGATTTTCTTAAGACTATTTATATTTTAATTTATTAGAACATTTCTCTACTTCCTTATTTGAATAACTAAGGATTTTACAAACATAATATGATCTAAAAATAACTCTCCAAGATGGAATGGATACTCATTATCATTTTCTCTTTAGTACTTGCAAGTCTTGGGTTATCTTATGCAACCTTTACATGTTGGCTAGTGTTTTACTCTTTCGTAGCTTTGCTCAAATACGGAAGGTAGTGATAACAGATAATGTGTGTTATAGGTTTCCTTACAGATGAAATCAATGAAGTGTCCTGAAGTCTGGTAACTACTCAATACCAGCAGCCTATATGGCCCTCTGTGCTATTACTGCTGCTTTGAACCAATTTATTTAGCCATTTTGACTTTACTCAGATGCATTCCTTCCTGCTGCCACAGCAGGGATACAGAAGGTTTTAAACCATGCAGTCATTTCCATCCCAGATTTCATGAGGGGTTATTCTTGTCTGAGTGATGAATCATTCATACATCCTTCTACGGATTCCAGGTGAGTTACTCACATTTAGGTGCTTCCAAGTAATACACAGAAAGGTGCTGAGAAAATGACAAGTCTCTGACCAGTCAGGAAGCTCAGCAAAAGTAAATCTGAGCAAAATGCTTGCACTAGGGCTCAAAATCTTTCTAGAGACCTGGGGCCAAAGGGCTTCTGCCTTCAAAACAACATGGCCAGCAGGGAGGTGGGGTGCTTGCATTACTGACTGACCATCAGCTGCCCTGTCCTCAGAAACAGTTCAGGAGAAGACTGAAAGTACCTGAAGGTATGAGAAGGATAATTAAGTTTCATTGTGGGAATGAGTGTAATCTGTCCAGACAAATCTAGGAACTAATATTGAAAACTAGTATCTGAATATGAAAAATTAGTAATTTTTTAATAAGGATGTCCAACAGGATGGTAAATTTAGGGAGTAAAAAAGCAGCTTTGCTTGATAGACCATCTCTCCATCTTCCTCTAACCCATTTTGTCATTCTCTTTCTCCCTGTTATGTTACTGCAATAAAAACCCAAACCAAAACAAAACAAAAAAAACCCCTAAAAGTATAAAATCTAATATTGAGAATGCTTTAGCTTCATTTCAATCTTCTCTTCTCATAGTGCTTTTTTTCCCACTGTGAAGATTCCCCCTATGAGATAACACAGGCCACGGTGACGTTAGCCTTGCAGGACCACATTTGCTGGCAGCACAGCTGTATTTTGGGGGGGTCTCCAAGGAGGCCAGTTTCCCACTCTTCTGGGGCTCTTAAGGATGGTTTTGAACTGGCATGAGAAATCACCTGGCGCTCAGAGCAGAGCAAGGGTGTGTAGGACAGTATTTTCTCTGTGCCTTCTTTGCTGAGCAGAATAGCTGCTCTATAAACAAATGTGAGTTTTGCCTCATTCTTACACAGTGTGAGTTATGAAAGCCCACTCAAGACATAATGAATGTATAGATCATTTTGACCAGATCATAATCTATAAGTAAACATTCCCTGAAAATGTATAGTTGAAATAAAGAACTTCTTGCTACTATTGCTGTATCAGTATCAGGGATTACTGATGAGGCCAACATGATCCTGAGACTTTGTGCTAACAATGTTTAAATACAGTGCAGAAGTAGCTACAGAGTTTGGTTAGCAATTTACTTTTCATGTTAGTATATTTAGGGTTTATGCTGCTGGAAACAAAACCTGAAGCTATGCAAGGTTTACCTGTCCCCAGACTTTACCACAAGCCCCAAACTTAAGTTCACCGGGAGGCCCATTAACACTTATATAACTTTTCTATTAGGTTCCCCTGATTTTGGTAACAATATTAATAAGCAAATCACATAGCGATATCTCAGAGCCCTATTCCCTCTGCAAATTAAGTACCTACAACACCTATGACTTCTTCACTGTATAGAAGAAGCCTGAGGACACCAGGCTAAGACCTATGGCTGATTGCCACCACAGCCTCTAGGCCATGGGTAGGTTAAATTTAAAGAAGGTGGCACTTAAGTGACATCTGTGTGACATGTGCTGTAATGTCCAGAGATTGGACTTTATGTATTCTGCTCTAAAGCTAGAGAGCAAGTCACTAGGAAAAAAAAAAAGGAAAGAAACACGAGGGAATAAAAGTACTTTTGAAAGAGAAGAAATCTACATTTCAATGAAAATCCTTTCAAGGCATTTCAAATAAGAGTCTGAGAGAAATAATTACAAAGTTTGGAGAGAAAGAACGTTAGCTTTGATATCTTTTTCTTCTATGAAGCAATTAAAATAAGCAATTTTTCAAATACTAAGCAGAAAATTACTAATGGCTGAACCCAAAAGCTTTCATTTCCTTCTTGGGGCCTTTATTCTTCTAAAAAAAGACAAAAAAATGTGAAGGTGGTTTTCCAGATAGATTAATGCATAAAGCAGTCGCTAGTTGGATGTCATAAAAACTACAGCAGCATAGAATAGCTGAGATTAAGAGCTAGATTTAAATCATGCAACAGTCCAGTTAATATCAATGTCTAATTAAGAAATGCATAAGAAGTCTGTAATGTTGATTTGATGGAGAAAAACTCTAATAGGGTTTCTTTTGGAATTTTCCATTTCAATTGCTGTGTAGACTTTTAATGGATGTCCTATCCAGTCTTTGGTATTAGCAGGAATCATCCTCAAATTAAAACCAGGGCCAAAAATGGAACACAGGTAGACAAATTAGCTTGTCTGGGAAGCAGTCTGGGTAGCATGACAATGTGAGCTCAAGCTGAAATTTTAGTACAAATAAAAGAGAACAAATGTCTCAAATCTGGCATGGAAACCCTATCTGCTTATCATTTTAAACAATTTAAAACCCTGTAATTTCAAACAATGCAGTGCTAACCCATTTCCTCACCTCCCCAAATCTCTGACAATTCATACGTAGAAATCCACAGACCATTAAGAATTATTAATTAGCCTTTTTAAATAGGAAGACTTTCTATAGCCATGTATATTAGCAGCATGTAGAGGTGGGCTCTTCTTTGCTTTCAGTGGGGTTTAGAGCACACAGCTCCCTATCACCATCAACGAATGCCATTAAGCTCCCACTCTTTTCCGGGTAACTAAAGCTCTAAAACTCTGTGAGCAAAACGAAACCCGTGGCATCTGCCACAGATCATTCAGGATGTTTGGTCTCTAGGTATGAAAGGGGAACTGGTTTTACACTGCATGCCATTGACACCCTGAAGTTGTTACGTTATAAGCAGTGTAACTGTGAGCATGTACAAATCCACACAGCAAAGAGGGAGGAAGCATAGCACTGGATTAAAGCAGCAGTGTATTTGTTATCGCCACTTTGTTGTTGACCCAACAAATCCAGAGGGAATTATCTCAAGAATCCAGGAAGACAGCAAACTCAAAATAACCCCTATGACCTAGGGAGCGAGCACGCTGGGGAGTCATTTTTAAGTTCATTAGAGAACATTAAAATACAACACACTGGTCATGGTAAAGGAAGGCATATTATTCCATCTGTCTATATATTTCTTTCCAATACTAAATCCATCCAGAGACCTTTCAGAATTATACCATTAAGCCTTGACACTTCACTTAACAAAAAAAGTAGGAAAGACTAGAGGTAAAATCACAGTAACAGTGGAAGTTCAGCACTTCCGAGTTGCCATCATTGCCTGAAATGTCGGGGTCTAAATCCTTACCTGGCTTTACTCCATCGACCAACGAGGCACAAATACTTACATAGCAATGCTGTGGCACTGAGACTGCCCCAAGGAATTTTCTCTTTCAAAGAGAAGGGAGCTAGGACATTCTAAGCGAGGTGTCCACCCTCTGAATGATATGAAGGTCTAATGTGGGGACATTCGGGTCAAAGGAGTTTGATTTTTTTTTTTTTTTACAGCCCCTCCTACTTGACTGTATGACTCGGGAGCTATCATGGACAAAGATGCTTTTAAATCAAAGTGGAGCACTGCTTTTGTGGGGTGCTCTCCCTGCAAGCTTGGATTTATGCAATACTTAGAAAATAAGAGCACGAAGCAGGCTGCCTTTTGCAAAAGCATGCAACAGAAAAATAAACAAACCTTAACTTGCCCAACACACTTGAGAGCCACAAAGCTGCTTAGTTTTATTAAATGAGAGCACAATTTCTTCTTTCCTCCATAAAACTGTCCTTTCAGACATTACTACAGTCATGACCTCACTGCAGCCCTTGGATTCTTTCTGAAAAGATTAAAATGAACTAATATACCAGTGATCTCATCAAAGCGTAAAGGACATCTTATGGAGGGGGGGAAAAGACATCAGGAGAACCTCGGTGTTTCATCTGCATAAAGACAGTAGCAAAAGGCCTGTAACATTGTGGAGAAGCACTAAAGATACAACACCAGAGAGGCATTTTTCCGTCTTATGAATTCTTAGGATTTGTCCTACCTGATCCTACCTACCACCCTTTTAGCTGCCTCCACAATCCATTCTCTTCCTTGTCCTCCTGCCTTTATGAAAACCTTCCTTTGTCTCTTCTGTGCCCTTCATCCAAGTTCTAGCATACCTGACTGTTCTTTGAATCATATGCACTACTATTCTCAACTACTTCCAAAATACATTTTGCAGGATATATACACACAATGCCATTACACAGAAATATTCACACACTTCATCTTTAGCTTAAGTAATCCTGACTAAGGATGTGCTTCCTATTTGTCTATGCAGTTCAGAGGCCAAGGGCCTGGATCATGGCAGCCTCATGTACTTTGGGGCACCTTCTATCAGAAGCCAGGAGGGCAGGCAGGGAGAGATGCTTTCTGTTTTCTTCAGCAGGAAAAGCTGTATTGATGTAATTGTGAATCCCACCACGTTTTAAAGGTTGTGACAGATCATTTGATTGAAAACAAGACAATCTTCAGAACATGAGAACAGTGATAGTAATGCAACCTTATCTGTTACACCCATAGGTGCACCTTGCTCTGGCCTGAGATCTCTCCAGTAAGCAACAAGGTGACGAACTGGTTTCCTGACTCATGCTGAAGGTCACGTAGGAGCCCCAGGCCCACCTTGGTGTGCCCGCCCACATCCCCTGACTTTTCAGGGAGGGACGTGCCGGTGCGGCCATTCCTCTTCCCAGGCGGCCCTATTACCCCAGGCAGGCAGGAATAGCTGCCACCACTGCCACCGCCCGATCGCTGTATGCTTGGCAGGAGGAGACAAAGCTACTCATTTCCATCTGTGACACTTCTCAGCCAGGAAGAAAGCCGCTGGGCATGAGCCCGTAGGCTGGGAGGCATCAGAGCAGCCACCTGTTAGATGCTGACAAAGAAACCTCCCAAACCCATCAGGCAGAGATGAATTCCCAGGACCAAAGGAATCTGATACAAAGGGTGGCAATGCCTTTCTACCCACCCAACATGATTTGTTCCTCCTAGATGAGGCAGCAGACAAACACATCCGGCCCCATATGCTCCTCAGTTTTTAGATTTGCTTTGGTGAGGAGAGTCCCGATCAGTAGGATAGGATAATATGTGCTGCAGCCCTAGTAGAAGTCCAAATAGCCCAAGGAGCAGTGCAGAGCATCTGCTACCACCAAGGAAGCAGCGGGCATAAAGCTGTTGGTTTGTCTGGAGGCACAGACTTATCAGCACCGAGGTGGGTGGGAGAGCTCTGGATATGCACCAAGATCTCCTCTCCCCACAGATTTACCAGCTCAGCTCAGCTCAGGCCAAAGGAACAGGGACAAGGTCCTGGGCTCTGCTCTGAGTTCACTGCTCTATTGATTACAAAGCGGTATTTACAGCAGATCAGGATCCTGAACTGAGCCTGGCCTGCCAGCTGAAGCTGTACAAACTAAGTCATATATTCCCCAACTACAGATAAAAGCAATGGCCAATTTTAGCCTAACGATCACTTCTGCCAAAGGAAAGAAACTCTTTGAGGTAAGTTCCCTGGGATATAATTCTTTCTTTACAGGTTAAAGCAGGGGTGTAGCTAATACATATCTGAGTCGTAACATGGATTTGCACCTTTCCCATTAAATACAACTGGTTCATGTCCAACGAATCACTTCTATTCCTAATGCTCACTTATATCTTTACAACTTCTGCATTAGCTGCAGGTGTGAAATGCCAACTGATCCAGACTTCTCTTGTTGTCAGCAGGAGTAATGCATGTAAAAGGCCTGATTTTCAGAAGTGAGGTGACCAGCATCCCTACTTGCACATCTGCTTCAATAAATAAATCTGTGGAGATTTGCAAGGCTCAAATATGCACAAAATGGGATGAGTTCACTGGGGTCCATACCTAAAAAACTGTTCACACTCCTCATTTAGTAGGCAGGTCACCATTTGCTCTCTATACAAAATATTTGCTCTTTTATAAGAGTAATCAGCAATATATTGGTTAAATGGAACGTAGACCTACTATTCCAATAGCAACTAATATGAATTAAAAACAAGTGATTTCAAAAATCCATGTAATACTGTGAAAAGCCCTGAGCAGAACACATGTCAGAGTACTTTTCATGAACATCTAAGATCCCAGACCTGAGATGATGTTGCTCAAAACATATACTTCCTTAAAGAGGTTGTTAAAAACATTTTCATAATAATCAGATGAGATGCACTTTTCATACTGGGGAAAGGAAGCACTTGGTTTGTAATAACAAGTGTTTGGAAAAGGCTATTAAGGTTCAAGGAACCGTGCTGTTGCAGACAGAATAGCTTGTATGTACCTTCATGGAAGTGGCTATTGAATCAAGGTGTCTTTTTCCCCTGAAACTTACACCAGAAATTCAGTGCAAAGACTTTTTGTGTTTAATCGGGCTGACTTCATTACCTTCCTGAGTAATAGAAATTCCACTTGTTTCCCTGAGTGGTGGAATACATAAACATGAAAAGAAAAGGGGAAAAATAAGAGATGTGGATTTTCTTTGGGTGAAGTAATACAGGAGAAAATAGGGCTTGACAAACATTTGAGTATAATATGCTTTGGGTTTTTAACAAAAAGTCCAAAGAAACATGCTTGAACGAACATTTTATAATGCATACCTGTTAGTTTATCTTCATTTTTGTTGCCACATATAATTGAAAAACTTACAGACAACTCATAAGACTTTTAGTTTCTGTTGAGAAGTGCCTTTTCCAAGATAATTCTGTAGGCTATTACTTTAGCCCACTGGGTATCATGTAGGCAAGGTGTAAGATTATGCACATGAATATTTCTGTCTACCACTTCTGTGTGCTGAGACAATATCAATTTATACTTTCTTCTGTCATTGGTCCTTATTCCGTAGAGGATATTCTTAATTACCAGCAAGACAATTTGGTAATATCATCTGAAGTGTTACAGCATCATTCCTGTGATGATTTACACCTACTTAGTCTGATCATTGAATTTTAAACCATATATTAAGCGCAGAAGGTGGAGGATATGTTTTTTTTTCTCTACAGGACACCATTTCTATTTTTAATAGAATTACTCTCCTTTAACTTATTGGCAGGGTTCTTCTCAAGGATAGAGTTTTTCAACACAAAGACACCATTGCTGAACATTTGAGCTGCCCTGAAAAATTCAGAGCACGCTTCTATTCCAGTTCTAATCCACTCAGGTCTAAACACCTAAATGCTAATTTTGACGACCGTGCATGAGGGACATGCTTTTATGGGGATTCTAAAGAATACAAAACCAAAAATACCTCAGCTGCAGAAGAAGCTCACTGTATTCCTTCCTCCACTTTCTGATTATGGTTTAAAATTTATTCAATCCTTGCAGGTTTACTCCAAAGTCTTTGGGAATGATGGGAATTATTCTATTGACACCAAACTCTGCTTTCTACTGGATTATGGAAGATGTTTGGGCATCAGGTTTGCTGGCAGTGGCACGCTAATGAAATGGGGAATTTTATAAACACATCAGGGAGGGTAAGTGCCCAATAGAAAAGATGTCATATAGAGATCCAGAAATTAGTCTGCTTGTAACAAATAAACTAAGGAATGCTTACTAACGAGTCATGAATTTCTTTATAATTGTTTCCACATTTGGGGCATTTTTTTCCCCTAAATAATCTACAGAAACCCTGCAATCGAATGGAGTTTTGGCCAGGGCTATGATCAGAACATCACATCTCATGTAATGAAAAATAACATGTTGGGAAAGATTTTTTGCTGTTCAAATTACTTTTCCAAAGCTTTATTTCAATCTGAAGCCATTTGCTTATCCTCCTCCTCATTTCCTATTTCTAAGATAAAAACAGGAGTTCATATCAATTTAGAAGAGTAATAAAACTAAAGAAAATTCAGGCAGAACTGTAAAGCACAGTCTATTTTAAAGTTCCAAGTCAGATAATACGAATCTGTTTTGTGCTGCACTTCCCTCATGAACTCAGCTTTCCATAGTGCATTCAGTGTTGTAATAATGCAAATCAAATACAAATTTTAATAACTCCTTCCATTAAAATGATCTATTAATGTTTTAAGACTCCAACACTTATGAGCATGATTCTAATTGCATGATTTTGCTCCAGGCAGGTTTTGCAAATCTGCCTGATCATCGGATATTTGCACTGCTAGGATAATTTTAAATAAGTTATTTTTTGGAAGAGTTTCAGTAACAAGAGTTTTGTTTGATAGTGGTTGTCTTGTGGGTAATTGTATGTATCTGCTTCCATGTGAGGAAAAAAAAAAAAAGCTAAATTTAGAACCCTTGGAAAAGAAGGTGGCTGAGGTTTATAAAATGACAAATGCTGTGAAGAACTTTCTGAAGAGGAAAATGTTTACTCATTTTGACACAAGGAGCAAAAGAGGCTTGAAGTCAACAAAATTTTATATTTGTTATGCAGCCCGGTAAGGTTGTGGGACTTTCTGAACACAGAACACCAAAAGGAAAATAGATCAGGAGAACTACTTTGTGTTTGACTTCCTCTGATGTTTTTCTGTAGATTTGCTAGGGGTTTCTGCCCCAGAGAGCATAACAGGCTTGCTGGACCTTGGGTCTATCTCAACACAGCTACTTGAAAGTGAGGCAGATGGTTATTTGAAAGCTTGCTCCTCTCTCCGCAAAGCTGTGCAAAACCTCAGGTTCTCGTCACTCTGCAAAGAAGGATGTGCAAAATGAACAGGACAGGCCTTGTAAAGAGGGCAGGCAGGGCAGCAGAGCTGCAAAGAAAGCATCTGCTGAGTGGCTCGAGAGCCCTTACCTTGATGCAGTCCCTGGGCTTTATCTCTGGTAGCCAGCTCTTGGCTGCCAGCAATCCTCAGACAACCTGTTTTCCCCTTGAGCATCACTCAAGATCTACACCAGGTTTCCCTCCTTTGATGACCAAAACATCAAGAGTCTTGCACTCGTGATTCAACATTTCTTCTGTACAGAATTTACCCCAGCTGTTGTTCATGACAAATGCCTACATAAGCCTCAAACAAATGAGCATTAAAACTAGTAGTAGTAGTCTTTTTTTTATGGGGTTAAAGGATTACTATTTAGTGAATGTTGATAGTTGTACAGCAAAAAGGGATTCCTTGTCTGCAAAACCAACATGTTACTCAATGTGTATGGCTTTACCCACTCCGACAGTGCTAGTTCTTCCACTTATTTGGCACATCAGAAGAGATTTCCTCTGATGTTTCCTCAGGTGTGCATTTTTCTTGCAGGATGGAGTCCTATCAGACTTGCTATGGAGCTTACATACCAGCAAAGAAAGTGGGCAAGCTGTGCAAAGCCTCCTACGTTATTTTTAGGTTAATAGAAATGCTTTGTGCAAGGTCACAAAGTTCTTTACTGTTCCTCTTCAGAAGCCATCCCAAACAAAACCACCCTGAGATACTGAATTGATGATACAAACGGATTATGTTTAGGGTTTCCCATGAAAACCTTCTATAGGATAAAGCCAAACAGGCAAAAAGGTTTGGAGGGAGCAACTCAGTTTTCATGAGGCTTCCCAACTGAAAAAGAGTTAAAGATGTTAAAGATGCATCAAAATCATGTAATGTGCCCTAATAGATATTTTTTAAATTAATATTTGCTTTGAAATATGCTTTCATTTAATTTTTTAATTCATAAATGAATGCAAAAAATGAAATATTTTGAAATTACTGAAGGAAATGATTCAGTGACTTTTTTTCCCTCAAACTTATTGGTTTGCCAGAGAATTAGTTGGAAAAATGAAATCTTGAAAACTCCCAAAGGATAGAAAAAAGTACTTCTCTGCTAGCTACAAAATGAGAGGAAAATATAATGACATTTTCATTAGCACAAAGATTTACTAAAATACCCACATTTTCATGGAAGTTGCACAGACTTGAACTCAGACACACTTAGGGTTCCTTTCCAAGTGTGATGCTTACGTACGGTAAGTGATAACTTTTTTTTTTTTTTATTACACTTGATCATCTACGCTCCTAGATAAATATCTGGAGGTGTTCCAGCCCCCACAGGGCTTAGTCCCTTTTTCATACATTGTCACAAGAAGGACGGAAAGCATGGGCAGGGAATTTCACACAGTTATAGTCCACAGACTAATGTGTTTAAACAAAAAATGATAATTAACTCTGAAATAATTTAAAAGTGGGCTATCCAAGATGAAGGAGCCCTGGATGCCAAGAGGGGCTAGGCTTTGTAGGGGGCACACAACAGCTACACTGTGCAGTGTTAACGGTGTAGGGAAGGAACATCCTTAAATGTTGGCTCAGTTTATCAGGAATTTTTCTGAACTGTTACCTCCAGCTTTCTCCAGAACACCCTCAGTCCTTTTATCTGTGAGCTATCTCAAAGTTTACTGCCTGCCTATTGCCTTGGCTGAACCACACTAATAGCCGGCTAATTACATGTGAACACGCTAATTTGCTTTATGCCTTTCTCAAAAAAACATGCACGTGCAGGCAAGCATGTGAGCAAACTTTTGTTCATGCAATAAAACTGCAGCACTGCATGGAATGGGTGTACCAGCCCAAGCACTGGAAAATGTTGCATGCTTGCTGCCCCCCATTTCTTGCCCCCACCAGGCCCCCACCAATGCTCATTGTTCCTATTTGCAACACCACCTGTTGCTCCAGCACCAGGCTGCTCTAGACCAGAAAGTGGAGCAAAGAGAAATACGTGTTTGTCATTGAACGGAGAAGAAGGAAGACGAGAACGATAAGATCATAGCCTGCAGCACTTTGTTTATGAGAACATCCTTCCAGTGATATATGTCTGCACCAGGTGAAAGTATTGTGTCACCCCTAACATATTTTAAATGCCAGGGCTGTCATGCAAGAAGACAATGATGAACAAGTTTAAACAGAATATGGTATTGTAGCCATGCACAGTGTTACCCTTTAAAGGTTTGCATCAGTAGCATTTCTTAACAAAACATTTCCGGACTGTTATATTCCCCTATAGAACCTCTTTTACATAACATTTAAACTCAGAAATATTATTTCCATTGGAGAGAAACTGATGGAGTTATACATAAACCAGTGCAGTTTCCTCATGCAAGTTTTTCAGGCTATTTCAAATGCCTTCCCAGCCATATTAAGAGCTTCCCCTAACTACTTGGATAGGGACCTGGGGACCACACTTTACTTGGCACACAGGTAAATAAAGGCACGCCTACACTGGGCACGGAAGAGCAGGGACTGGGCCTAGGTCACTGCATGTCAGAGTCTTACTTGGATGAGGTCTGGTGTGCTCCAATTGACTGAAAGCCTGCTAGCTGCATCACGTGGTTAACTCTGCACACGAGCACTCACTTTGCGTGCTCCAAGATTGCCTCGTGCTGCACAGCACAGTAAGCGGGGTCAGATGGAGAATTTACTTAAAGGGCACTCCTGGGCCAAGGGGAAATGCTACTGGAGAAGCACCTTTTGTCCCAAAGGAGGTATGCACGGAGCTACCATCACAGGGCAGTTTTCTTCCCAGATATTTATCTTGAGCTCGACTGCACGAACACCATCACTGTGCTCTAACACCATTGCACAACATGACTCCTCCAGACTGACAGCTCAAATTGAGCCTTGGGGAAGCCAGCATCCAACACACGGCATTGAACGTGGGCATGACCATATCCACCCCAGGGTCAGGTGAAAGAGCTGTAGCCATGAATGTCACATGAAGGCAACCGTGACAACAGAGCTTTACACCTTGGAGGCACGCTAAGGTCAGAGCCACTCCGTGAACCATCCAGGACAACATTCAAAGTGCTTTACAAGAGAGGAAAGGGAATTTGAGCACCTGAAAAATGCCCAAAGAGCTAGGATTTCTTAAGTGCTTACTGAGGTCCTGTGTGGGCTCACGTAACGTGCTCAGCATCTCCCCATCAGTATTTGTTTCTGTAAAATAGAAACACCTTATTTTTCTCAGAAGGTTATTAGGAAGACTTTCCAATTAAAGTTTTCTATAAATGTAAGTGCCTTGTGAACAGTATTTAATCACCTGACTAAAAATTTTCTCCAACTTCTTTAGGCAGAACATCAGTTTTTATAGGGACTTGTCAAGGTGCTCAGCTTAACATAAGGCTGCAGGATCACACGCTGCATCTTTAAGACATAGTTTACTCCTGAATCAGTAAATGTACTAGACAAAGCAGCCATTATTTATGCATTCCTGCATAGATGGCAAGGTGAAAATAATAGAATAAACATCATATACTTCATTATGATATCGGTTTACACTTCCAGGGTACACAAAAAGAGGCCATTTCATCAAGCTAATTGCCTGAAAGTAAAAGAGAGAGAACTTTAGCTATTAGTCTATTATGGGGCTTTTTTCTTAATCACAAATAGGGGCCGTGTGTCCCCAGGGGGATGTGTATTCTAATTTACAATTGAACTACAGATCAGAGCAATCAATCTTGTGCAGCACTTTTACAGTGTAATTGCTGCAACATAACAAATAAAAAAAAGCAGCCTAAGTCGAGTTTCAGCTTGAGGTGGAGATATTTACCAGGCATTGGGTCGGGGTGGGAGGGAGGCAGAGAGAGAAGAGAGGCGCCAAAGCCATGAATATGCAATGAGGGCTCATTAGTGCCCCAGTGTTGCCATGACGAATGGCATTATCCCCAGACTGGTGCAGCCTAAACATGAATTTTATAACGACCCATTTATCATGACTTGTCATGGGTTTCTTTACTGTACTTCCTACTGGCTCTCACACCTTCCTCCATTATCACCTCAGAATCCCTTCCTTTTATTTTCCCTTACTCCAGTTTAGTTTTTGGTAGCAATGCCTATAGCGAGGAGATGACTGCGAGGGGCAGCCCGCTGGTGTTCAGGAGAAGCTCGGAGCCTCCTGAGCTGGAGAGCCACAGCCAGACACGTAGGTGGTCTTCAGTCCACTTACTAGCGGATAAGCGTCCTCATTGTCACAAAGATCTGCAATCTTGTCAGTTGACTCAGCAGAAAGGTCTCGGATTGACTGAGCATCGAGACAACTATCTTTCCTTTCTGGCAGATGTGATGGATGAATGTGTTTTGTTGACCTAGGCCTGTCTAAAAGTGCTCTTCCTCAGCCCACGCCAGCGATGCACTCAGTAGAAAAATTCACCCCTTGCCTCTACATCAACAGAAGTACTAAATCGGATAAATGGACAAAAATTACATTCTGCCCAGCTGCAGTTAAACTGAAAAAATATATACTAGATGCAAAACTTTAGTGATAGGAAAAGCATTTACCTTCCAGGTGCAAGAGGTAACAGTCAACACTAGAGGAAAACAAAATTACTGCAGAGTAATTAGTGTGTCTGGCTTTAGCTCATTTTTGGTCACTGCACGTTGTCTCTGGTTTACTGCTGTCCCTTTGGCCTACCCGATTCCACATTTAATATACCACTGCTTATAAAGAAATCCCTGCGGCTCAGAAGGCTGAATTGCCACTGCTGGGGTAGGGCCTGCTCTCCAGTATATAGAGGCTTTCATTTCCCAAGTTATGAATCTGACATCTCATGGCCAAATCCATGCCAGTTTATTTCTGAGAAGTCTGTCCTCATTATTTACCCCAAATAGTTTCACTGTCAGTATGCCTTTTTTTTCCACTGTGAAGTGGCCAGAGTATCTGAAAGTATCAAGCCTCTCTTTGTTGGATTTTACACTTTTGCTATTACAAGAATTTGTCTTTGGGGATAGAAAAATCAAGCAACTTATTTCCAGCTATTACTTGGATAGGACTTCATGTTCTTAAACAAGTTGTGAGCTCCCACGATCTCTGAAAACAACTCTCCCGAGGTCTTACATCAGGATAGTCCTACAGTTCTTTCATTACTCTACTGGATGTTTGAAAATATTAAAAGGCATCTAACATCCCAGTCCAGCAATTTACAGACTCAGAGTCTGGTGCTGTAGCCCTCAAAGCCTCTATTTCTTCCACAAAATCCGCACTTTGCTATTATTGTCGCCAAGACAGGCACGTGTTTCACTAGAGGAGCAGTTTGTCAAAGCAACAGTCCATTATCCAAAGATTCATCACAGGTTCCTACTTCAGACACGATGGAAGGGAGGCTGGATGGTAGAACGTGACGGGGAAGGAGAGCTTCCTTGCAGCAAGGTGCGTGAGGCAGGTGGCACACCTTGACCCAAGCTGGGCGTAGCTGATTAGGCCAGCATATGCTGATGTGAAAAAGCCAGGCTTTTTTTTTTTTTCCCCACCCCAAACTGTGTTCTTTATCTGTGTTCCTTTAAAATACATAGTTTTTAAAGCCTCAAACAGCACCTTGCACAAATCCCTGACCTTTGGCGGAGAACCCCAGTTCTCACTGCAATACAGACGATGGATGCTATGTTAATTATCAGAAGACAAAAGGAAAAAATATCCCTCTTAAAGAAGCAAGCCAGAAATGCCTGCTAACATTGCAGAAAGCATCCATTGCATTCACAGGGATGCAGTACACAGCAAATGTGACAACTGTTCCTCAAAATATACTTACTCTGTGGCCTAGGTGATCTGGATCATCTGTTGTGTGAAGAGAAAGGAGAGTCTCAGAAACAATATGACAATTAAATTCTTTTAAACTCCTATTAGGAGTTCTAAAACTTGCTGTAGTTGGTGCAAGGTCTGACAGATACGCCTGACTGCAGAGCCTCTATCTGCAGTTTATGAGAAGGAATAAGCAGACGCCTGTTTGAGTTGATTTTAGTATTTTAGTCCCATGCAGAGAGTTTTCTTTATTATTTTATATCAATACTTGTGGGTCCCTCAGGGAAAAAGGCTCATCGTTCTTCCACTCATCTCATCAAAAAGGCAGACATTGAAACAAAGATTATTAGAAGCCAGCCAATGCAGATGACACCTAGCTCTGTCACCTTACCACCCGCTATCACTACAATCCCACCATAGATGTCTAGGTTGAGATCAACATCCACATGGAGGGCAGCTGCCTGAGAGAGAAAAAACATTCGCTGTTCCTCAGTCCACAAACAGCAATAATTAAAATAAAGTAATTCCAATCCTTAAAATATTAAGTCCTTGGTACTAAACCAATGAGCCTCTAATTATAGGAAACACTCAAGCTCCAGGAAGAAAATGAAAACTGTCATTGTCACACAAATCCAGCTTCCAACAAAAATATCATTGGTTCAAGACAAATTAAAAAGTATAGGCAAAAATTTAAAGTGGAAGACCGGCATATAGCATAGAACGAATTTTTTATCCTGAATTCAAGGCACGTTTAATGATTGACTGCTTTAGGATCAGAAGTTGGCTAGGAGCAAACTCACTTGAAAATACTGCACCAAATATATTTGAATACAATCAAATCCTGACCTCAAAATTATGCAAATTTACATCCACCAGTTTGCCACGTTTACAGATAGAATTCTTAAGATGCAAGAGAAAACTGGGATAGAGCTGCAGGTGTGATTACTACATAACGTTGCTCAGAATCTGTTCAATTGACGTATTTAGAAGAGAAACTAAAAAAGCAGATATTATTTCTTCGTATAAAACAACATACTTTAAAGGCACATGATAAAATGCAGACTTGGAATGAGTTTTGTACTCTAATTTGAACACCTAGACAGTACCAGGAACACACCTTGCCATGCCTGCAGAGATACCAGTTGTACTACATAAACTTCTGCACTTTTTTTTTTTTTTTTTTGGCTGTTTCTTTTGTAGATAAATCCCTCCCTTCTTAATTGTATTTCAAAAAAGGCCTAATATTTTTCCCAACTGTACTCTCTGAAGCTTAGCATCAGGCATCCTAATAAAAGAACGATCTTTTCCTCTGGTTCTGATCAGTTTTGACTTTCAGCTTTCTCCACCTTTCCTTATTCAGGGCCAATGTCTTGCTGCTTTCCACTTTTAAACAAACAAACAAAATGCCCTTCCCCTCCTTCTTCCCTTATACCCCCCCCCTCTTCTTTAATGACATCTTCAGTCATTAATGAGTTAATAAAAATCTCAAAGTCATCTGGGAATAGATAAGGGGAAAGAAAGAAGAGTATTGTACACATAATGACAGGCTCCCTGCTGGCCCTAAGATGTCATGGGTCAGCCATGTTAAGAATGTGTGTGCCCAATCATCTGCTGATTTTTATCAGCAAGGCCTCAAGCAGAATCTGACACGGCCAGTTTGGGAGTTACAATGAATAAACAATGACTTCTTGGATTGTTGGCGGCTGTATGATAGAGTGAGAGGGTTTATATATACTAAAACATGATGACATTAGCAATCAATATACCAATTACTGGACAAGTTATTGGACGAAGAATGCTCATGTCTTGAGCTTTGTGCACTTTGAACATACTACCAGTGACGGAGACCACAGAAATAATGGTACTTAACCCTTCCTGAGTGAGACGTGCTAATTCTTGACAATGCCTTGAAGTTTGTCTGAGTGCGTGGTAAAAGAAAACCTGGTCTGATTTAGCATATTAAGTCTTTCAGATAGAAGACATAAGCCTGACAAATTTCTTTTTCATTAGGACTTAAAGGAAGAAAGGAGCAGATTTTTCAAGTGAGCATTGGGATGTTAGAACAGCGGTTTTAACAAATTTAAATTGCTCTCCATAAAATCTCAGAGGAAATCAATTTCTTTTCACCCAAGCACCACTAGCTCGCTACACAAACTTCACTGAGAAGTTAGAACACACCTTTTACAGGACGGTTTAGACAAATATCCCAACAGCTCTCACCTGCCTATTCTGCAGCAGAGAAAGGAAGATAAAACTAAGATACTTTTCTTATTCCTATGCTACCAGAAACGCATTCCTGCATCTGTTCAGTGTCATCCTCTTGCTTCTCTTAGTTGGCTGAAAATATTCAGTGTTTACGAGTTTGTCTTCTATTATTCTGGAAGCGATTGTGAAGATTCAATGCCAGTGTTATAATTGAAGCCAGAATCAAACGTAGTAAAGTCAGCCACCTAATTCAAAGCACAGCTGGAGAAGATAATGGAGGTGGACACCAGTGTGGTGGGCAGACCTGCCATACCTGGGGGCACAGAAGAAGCACTGTCTAGGCTGGATTACATGGTGCCACCTCTCCACTGTCCACTAAGATGGACAACTCCATGACCTAATGGAAAGCCTGTGGGTTTTGCCCCGAGATGACTCATAAACATGTGGGAAAGATTTTATGATGGCTCTCTTGCCAAGATCTGGGAAGCAGAGGTTCCATACAAACTCTTGACTTTTATTCAGGTAAGAGCAAACAAGGCAGGGCATAAATATAAGAACTAACTTTGTCTTCTAGGGCATCAGCCAGCACAGTAGAAATTGTGCAAAAAAAAAAAAAATCACCACATTCTATGTAGATCAGGGGGCTGAATAAAAGCTTAAGATGCATCTTTTACAGACCACTCTTGTAACACATGAGCTCGAGTGTTGCTCTAAATTACAATCAACTCTGCTTCTCAGAGCACTAAGCGCTTCCCAGGGTTGTATTGGACAGTAATGGCAGGGGGATCAGTCCCAGACATTGGGGAAAAATAGATGAGACTGCATCTGGTTTTAACTGCAATGGTTATGAAATGTTCAGCTGTATCCTCTCAAATGGCTCTTCCCTTTCCATTAAGTTCTTGAAAAGTTTGAAAGTGAATTTGTCCAGCGCGTCTGATATGAATAACAAAATGCTTTTAAATGTAAATGTTTCATAAAATAGCACCATTACCTCGCATTACAGTGAATACAGTTGAAAAAACTCAATCCCTCCTCTGTAATTTACAATTAACTTTTTGCCTCAAGGTAACAGCTACGTTCACAAAAATAATGGTAATAGATTGACCTTGTTATGAATGGATAACAAGCTGGAAACAATATAGTTTGTCACAGAGCATTAACTGTTACTGTTGAAATTGTAAATAATGTGTATAGAACTCACAATGTAAATGGCTTCCCTTAAAAATATTAATTATGTCGATTAAACACTTGATGCATAATGGATTATTCTGAAACCTATTTAAGTCCATGTCAGACTGAATACACTATTCTCTAAGATCCCATTCCTAGACTGCTGGAAAATCTACGGCTGTGCTCTGACTGTTCATGGTGGACAAATGGCTTACAATAGAATATTGCCTTAAAGATATATGGATGCTTCTGCTGTTTGGATTGCTGCATGCTTTCTTACTGAGTACAACATCAGAAGATTAGATGTCTAGAGACACTGGACTCTTCTGAGATGCTTTTAGGCTGCTTTGGAAATTAATGAGAAGCAACCCTCACCCAACAGTGCTGGACATTTACTGGAGGATCTCTATGGGACACAGAGCACTCCACTGGCTTTTATGCCTTTTCATGATCACTGGTAATGGGACAGAGGAATACGAGAAAGTTTTTACACCTGGCTGGTTTCTTACACCAAAGTGGTGTAACTCATCAAGGGGCTTTGAGGATTGATGCTACTCGGCTGATCTCCTCTTTGTATGTCCTTTGGAGCCAGGGCTGCAGGCACCTGGGAGGAGATTGCTATCACGTGGCTTTAGAAAGCAATCCAAAACTGGTATATAACACATGGCATAGAAAAGATTAGACTTTTCTCTCAAGTGTCTGGGGACTACTAATTCACAAACAGGAGACTTAACCATATTTTTGTGCTTTCCAACCACAGTAAGTGTTCCTCAGCTGTAGCTCAACACTGGACTTAACAGCACAATACTTCAGTGTTCTGGCTAATTACCATGTATAGACTGTTGCATTATAAAGGAGGGATTCCCGCTAGATTATCCACATAGAGAAAGTGATATTAAAACGACAAGCCACCAAGAGGTCAAATAACCAGTTGCCAGAAGTTAGAATAACTAGACTGTGAAGCAGCAATATCTGGGGAGCTGGCATGTGTCCCAGGACTGGTTGTCATACAAATGAAAGAAAAGACAGCTGGAATCTTTTTGGATTGGCTGTTATTTTCTCTGAATATAGTGTAAATCTATCACTTCGTTTTTTCAACCAAACGCCTGAACTGGGAGTTGGGAAACTGATTCAGTAAAATATAAAGTCTCTTTATACATCATTTTTCCATGTGTGAGCTTCATCCACTTTAAGTTTTATCCTTTGGGACCAAGGACTGTTCATACTGTGTGAGCATAAAGAGTGGTTATAGCTGGGGCTCTCCAGTACTCCTGTAATCCAGTCAAATACCTTCTTGCCAAAAGGTGTGCTCTCCTGTCTTGGGAAGAAAAGTCACTGCACGTGTATAACTGAACAAGCACCTCTTCCCCATGATGGGGTCAAAATCCCAGCGCATGACTAGTTGGTAAGAAACACTCAGATTTCCCTGCACCCTATGCTTTTCTCTGGGCAGCTCTTGTTTCACCTTCAGATACTTTAGCTGTTTGCTATACATTTGGTGCCATCTCTTTAAAGATATACATTTGAATGGGCAAGAAAGTGAGGGATTAGCAATGGGCAGAGGTCAAGTCCGTCAAGACTTTAAGCATGTCGTTGGTTGTAAAAGAGATTACATTACTGGCAGCTCTTTGCCAGATCAGTACTTCGATGCCAAATGTTAATCCTTGCTGGGGACATGATGGCTTGTAAATGTTATAGGAGAACGTAGCTTTTCCTGTAGAAACAGGCATCTATGGTTAAAACACGGATTATTTTCTCATGCTTACATTTGCATTTCATGCCAATTCACTCTTGCTTGCTATGAGCTTCGCTTCAGTACTTACATTTAATCGCTTCAGATCTTTATTTCTATAGCTAAGGAGGGTATGGTGGAGTTCTTAAAGCTCTGGGTAGCAGAAGAGCTAGAGCTCAGCCTCAAGCTTTGCCAGAAAGCTTATTCTGTGACACTGGACAAACCCTATTTGCTTATTGAACCTTAGTTTTCCCATCTATAAAATGGAGCTGCATGTAAAAAAGATACTGTAAGTTTTTTTTTTTTTTTTTTTCGATGACTGTCAGAAGAACAGTAGTTACTGGATTTATAAAGCAATCTGCTTTTTTTTAGCATCTAGCTGTAACTTTGGATAGCATGCTTCATATCTGTGACTTTAAGTATCATCCTTTCCTACAGTTACACAGTTAAAGTTTCTAGGTCACATATTTTTATGCCAGGACAGCCAAGGCACAAGTCCACACAAGATTTTAGAATAACAAATCTCAATTGTCACAAAGTTTGTTCTACTGTGGACTGAGAGCATAGCTCTGGGTGTAGCCGGCAGCTGTTAAGCATGTGCAGGACACTGTAGGCGACTAAGCATAGTCAGGAAATTAATATTGCACCAGTAGATCTGCAGCAGCTGACTATGCTTGTAGAGCTAAACCTCAACACCCAGCCTGCAGAAAGTCCTTTGGCTGTTTACAGGACACCATGTGAAAGGGATGATACAGGATCAAGCTGCGCTCCCACCTGCTCTTGGGATCTTGAGATCCTCAGTGTGAATGCCTCAGTTTCTCATCTATCTTTAGGTAATGAAAAACTATGCTAAGGTAGAATCAATAAAGCTTCACTTTAAAGGGTTTGGTGAGGTCAAAAACACTAGTGCCTCCTTCTTGGGGGTTCTAGTGTAAAGGGGATTGTGTAACTTTCCAGATAGATTTGATAACAGAGTTCATAAAAGAAAAACAAATTCAGCCTGGGGAAACCTGAGCTGTTAGGTTTCATGCCATATACACTTAGTACCTATAAAATTATGATATTCTAGTAGGAAGGCATTCAACACGTATTTTTCTGGCAATAAGTAAAAATGATATGCTCCATACTAAGTATTAAATTGTGTTAGTTTGGTTTTGTTATGCAGATGGATTTTTTTCTTTCACTACTCTTTGAAATGTTTTGAATTAAAATAGCTTACTCAAGGTCACCAAAGGCATATGGTCCTGCTCAAAACTTTAAACAAAACATTAGTTTTTACAACCTTTTGTAATTTGGTATTGTATACAACATGGTTATAGACGGAGTTTCTGTAATCTTTGCAGTGGGTGACAGAAATATGAGAGCCAAATTTATAAGCCATTTAGTGAAGCATTTAATCAATTTCATGCATAGGAAATAACACCGATTGCTTTGCTTTATCAATCTTGCTTTCTCAGAGACCTGCAGTCACCCCAACCTCAAAGCACTTAAGTGTTGGGGGAGAAACCATATGCAAAAATCTAATGCCGTACACAACATGTCAGGAACTTCTGAGGGCTGCTTAAACTTACTTGCCAGCATCAATAATCCTTCTTAAGGCTTTTAATATATTTCACAGAGAAGGCAGAAAGCCTAATATATATTGGAAGTTGCAAGGCCTCTTTCTACAGTTATTCATTAAACACCCTTTGTCTAGAATGAGTCTTTGACACTGTCTGGAGTTATGCTGATTAAGTTTGCCTCTAATATTGAAATGTTTGTATATGTTGCCTCTAATCACTTACACTTAAAAACACATCGTTGCATTACAAGTCCCTCTGTTTCCATAAACTATAAATGCCAAATATCATTTGACAAATTCAGAGGCACTGCTTGAGACAACAAACTCTCCACAGCCTGAAGAAAAACACATTGAGGTCTAGACTGTCTTCCACCATGTAAGAGTTAAAAGTCACACTTACCCATGGCTGTAACTTGGGGGCTGGTCTGGGACTTTATCTTGATAGAAACGGCACTGAAGGACTAGAACAGTTCCTCTTCTGGTCTTCAAACCATGGCTCAGGATGACCTGTCCGACCCTTGGCATCAGGCAAGCAGAGGGGAAAGGCATGCTCATGCCATCCACAATGCACTCGGTGAACTGGAAGATCCTCAGCACTGCTCGGGAGATGGGGTAACACCAGGGTATTGGCATATGCGAGACGCCAGAGTAAGTTACTATTTCAACAGGAAAATATTGCCCAAAACAAACACCTTTACTTGTCCTGTATCTGAAAACTGTGACTAGATGAAGAGGTAAGGCTTAAAAAGCTATTTCAGAGCACACTTTTCTTTCTCATGTACTACAACAGCTTGTACAATACCCCAAGCAGAGTACTACAGTGACTTTCTTTCCTGAGTGAAAAATTCCTGAAGGACCAAAAAGGCAATCTCTCTGATAATCATCAGCTGCTCAACTATATTAAATTTAGACAAGGCTACAATAGTGCCAGAGTTGTCCCCTGCCCTCTAAAATTAGAACTGAAAGAATGGCGGGCATAGCGCTAAATATATAACTCATTTAAAAATAATGTGCTCTCAGACTTTCCTAATGCTTGAAAAACTGATCATCATAAATCCCTACAGATCTGTTTGCACAGCGAGCCCACCTCCACCAGCTCCAAACATGTTTCAGTAGGATCCATCCTTTCCTGAACATCCACTTTCCTCTGCAGTAGATAGGAAAGAGAAAGCAGTAGTGTTTGCTGCAGTTAAATGATACATTGCCCATTTATCTAGGGGGACAAAACTTAACCCAACCTCTACCTTCTATATAGAAGAGAGAGGAAAAGAAAAAGAACAAATGAGAAGTTAGTATTTCTTATCTCTTCCTAGTCCAGGCAGAGTGGATTTAGCCATATAAAGCACTAGCGAGCCCTTTAAAGCACTCAGAAGTAGTAGCTTTAACTTTTCAAGCTGCAGAACTAAGCAGACCTCTACAGGGGGAAAAATTAAGAAGCCTCATCTCTCTACTTCTGTGTCTTAGACCTCACAAAGCCTAGCATTAGTAACTTTGGAACAAACGGGAAGGATGGACCGAGAGCAGTTTTGTGGAGAAGCAGAGGAAGAGAGTGGCCTTATCCCTTCCTTCAGGTTCAGAGCAGCTTCTGCCCAAGTAAAACCTCCCCTTTCCTTTCCAACTTCACTCTAGCAGCATGCAGGGTCTGTCCCCCCAAAGAAGAAGATACACTGAAATAATTGAGCACAGGCCCACCAAGTTTATTGCCAGCTGGGGCCTGTGGTGGAGATGGGCACAGAAGAATGCTGGGAGCTTGGAGGAGTTAGAGCTCTCCATTTTGAGAGGGAAAGTGTATCTTAGAAAATGTAGGTTTTTATTTGTCATCTGTTTCTCTTTTTCAGTTATTTTGACCACTAGAGCACCTGTAGCAGATGCTGATCCTTTCAGACGAGTAACATGAGGGGCTGGGAGAGTTTTGTGGGGGAACCTGAACTCCTGTTTGGTGTGGTTCCTTGTGAGGGCAAGGGAATGCAAACCTGGGATTTATAAAAAGCAAAACCCTGCTTGTTCTACAAAATAAGTCCTGGGTTTTTTGTGTGAAGTGGAGCTATTTTAGGTAACTCCACTGCTTCATTACAACATTTGGCTAAAAAAATAAATATATATATATATTTTCTTTATATGCCCCCTTACCTCCTACTTTTGGGAAACTAGAGAGGCCTCAGGACCGTGTGCCTAGCCTCTGTGGGGCTGGGAGGTGCCTGTGCCACTGGAAGTGGGTCTGGACTTGATCTGCCGCAAATATAAAAGCTTGTTAGTGAAGCAAACAGGTCATATTACACTATTCTTGTGCCTTAAATAAATCAAGAAAGGTGTAAATGTGCTAGTCCTGAACTTATTTCTCCCCTGGGCTGCTTCCATGAGATGTTTCTTTCTCTTCCTTCCCCCCCTCATTTCTACCTTTGCTGCTTTGGATGGTATCCACTTATTGGAAGGGTTTTCTGAAAATAGTAATATTGGAAAGGCATGTTCTCTGTTTGCTCATCTGGAATATTCTAGGAAAGATTAACTCGTTTAATTCTTCACCCCATAAATTTGGGGTTCCCTTTCTAGTTTTGTCTTGCAGATAGGTTAAGGCAATAAAAACTATAAGTAAAAGAAGCTGCATTTTTTTTTCCCTGGCCAGAGAGATACTTCTTGCAATCTTAATCACCAGGTGATGTGTTGTTTTTTAAAATAACAGGTGGAATAAGAACATCTTTGTTTCTTTCCTAATGGAGGAAGACAGATCCTACCTGGAAAAGTTTGTTGCAATATGAATCTAAGCTGTTGGGAGGAGAAAAATACTGCAGGAACTCAAAATTAAATATTTTTTCAGGAATACGGCATTTGGATCCAGTGATAAGCAGGCAGTACGGAGCTCGTGCTTGGGGCTGGTGGCCATTCACACATGGGACATCCCAATTTGATGTCAGGGGGTCTGCTGTTGACTAATGCTCTCAAGGTACTCCCTCAAACTTAGCTAGCAGAAAGGCAATTTCCCTCCTTTTATCCTTTGTATCCCCAAGGAAGTGGAGGTTTGTGTTTATTCCTCTTTGCTCATGAGTGTGAAAACTTAAATCTTGTTGCTGGGAGAATCTTAACGCTGTCAATGGGATGTTTCTGGGGAAACTTGTGTTTTTGATAATCCTATTCTTAAAATGGTTCCTGTGCTGCTCCTAGGAGCTGTTTGCTATTCTGTGGACATTTTATTTTGGGCTTGGTCTAGAGTTGTTGGATTTTTACCAATGAAAGTAAACTAAAATTAAAGAAACGGCACTGCCTGCTCACTCTGCAATGGTTGTTTTCTTGAGCCAGGATAGACACAACAATTTGAAAACCTCAGTCAAGTTTTTTTTTTTTTTTTTTTTTTTTTTGGGGGGGGGGTGGTGGTGGTCTGTTTAAAAATCACATAATTTTATGGATGTAATTTATATACAGAAAAGAAGAGGGCTATTCCCAATATTATCTTTATCTTCTAGACATAAATAACAAACAACTCCGGTAATCAAAATTTACTGCAATTGTAATAGGTTTTGGCATCGTTTATGTATCGCAGGGAATGTTAACATAATGTTGACTTTCAGGACTGAGGCCAGGATTTTTGTTGTTGTTGTTGGCTTTTTTTTTTTTTTTTTTTTTTAAGGCATTATAAAAAAGTCCAAATATATTTGTGGCTTTTACAGTATTCAAGAGTTTAATTTTCATAAATAACGCTGTTTATACCTCCTTCTAATCAGAAAGTTGAAATTATCTGTGACAATGTGAACACTAAAAAGTTGTATACTATGAAAATATTTCAATAATTAATGCATGCACTATCTAGAGCAATTGACAGTGAGGTCATAAACATAATGGGCCATCTGTGTTTGATTTGTATCTGAAAATGCTTAAAGGGAAAGGCAGGTAATTCAGGCTGCTCTTGCAAATGTAGACAGGCAAGATTTTTCACCTTCTCAGAAGGTTGTTGAACCATTTCATTGCTTTAAAGAAGGGGGAAAAAACAGTTCTTCCAGGCTACAGCCTTTTAACATGCTTGCATTTGGCTCCTGTGTTCTTTGAGAAGCAGAGCACACTGGTGGGACTTTTAGTTTTCTTTTAGAGTGCACAGAGGGTTGTCATTCTCCCTTATTTACTTTATATTGTTTGCTCTATAAAAATGCCACTCCAGGCTCCCAAGCAATCCCACTAGCTCACTCTGCATTCTGGGACATGGGTTTAAATAGTTTCCTTTGGACCTTTCCAAGTTCAAATCTGCACTGGCCTGTTGAAAGGCAGCAAAACTTTTATGCGGGGATCTGGCTCGTTGCACCTTTATGACCCTTCTCTGGATGTGTCCCAACTTGTCTCAAACCTTTTCTCCCTTGTGAAAGTCGAGGTTCAGGTTACCAGCATATCTGGGATCAGATTTAATTTAGCATTAGGCTTCTGTGCCGTAATGGGGAGAAATGGATTGTCCTGCTATCGTTAGGAATAACTCTTTATCTCTGAACTTATATGCATTGGCATAAAGCCAATATCAAGCTGGAATGACTCAATAAATAAACAACCAAATACCCCTCTTGTTTTCACTGGCTGATTTGATGACAGTCGGACTCCTGCTCTTGGCACTGGCTGAGGCTCTACCGAAGGAAATGCCATTATCTCTCCTGTGCCAGGCAGAGATTAATAAATTCTTAGAAATTGAATCCAGACAGGACTTCTAAATGATTTCATGTGACCTCCTGTATATCAGAGCTATTAAATACTACAAATTACCTATGATAAGCCCAGAGATTGCAACCTATTTTAAACTCTATGCAATTTTTCCCCCTGCTCTGCCTTTCCTTGTCACCCAAATATTTAAGTGGAGGCAGAGAACAGGTCATAGCAAGGTACCATCAGTGTTTGGGGAAACTAGCTGAAATGTGTCCAGGTAATGCCATGCTCTAAGAATTGCTTCACTGTCCCTTATAATCTGATTTGGGGTTAATTTCCTGCTCAGATCTGAGTCTGGTGATTAGTGTGATCTGAACATGAGAAAACAGACCTCAGCTACCACCTGTGAGATTTCCCCCATTGCCCTGACAGTTCTGACCACCTTTTCAGAACCTTAACCTTAGCATTACAAAATCATTTGTATAGCTCAGGAGAAGAAATACTGGAATAAAGCAAGACTGAATTATATCACAAAGTTGTGAGAATTATTCTTGAAATTGCAAGTATCTGTCATATTCATGACTTGGAAGCCAACATTTCCTAGTGTTGGAAAATAAGGAAAATGAAAGACAATGAGGCCCAAAATGCAGGAAGTAGTAGTAGGATGAGGGCTTTTGTCTATGGATTCTGACACTGGCAACTCAATTTAGATGTTTGGATAAGCATCCCTCTTCTTTCCCCACATCCTCTCAGATATTTGTGTATAAATTGCTAGGTATTCCAAGTGAGACCATGAAGAGAAATTCTACATTGTCTCAATTAAAGTAGATAAATACCCTTTACCTATGTGTATCTTCAGCTGTACCATTGTGTTTCCAGACTGAAGAATTTCTCCTAAGAGCTAGAACAGAACTTTTACTTAGAGAGGAAATTCTGCCTTAAACACTTCAAGCCCACTGGTCTCAAAGTGTAGCTGCTTTCAGTACTGGGAAGCTGCATCGTACTTCAAAGCTGAGTTTGTCTAACTTCTGTATCTTCAGCTGGTCATGTTGGCAGAAAAGTCAAATAGCCCGTAGAGGTACCGCTGCTCAGAAACCAAATCTGTGTTCCTCCTTTTTGTCAAACTGCAGAAGTTGTTGATACGTGACACAATACGAGTTGTTTCTAGTACATAGTTTATTTTTTATCTGCTATTGTGCTGTCTCCATTCTGAAAGTAGAGTTGGACCCAGTTGTCTACTGAGTTCTTACCAATGTTTTTTTCATGGACAAGATCATTTCCTTGTTTCTACTCAGGTCTTTTTTGTTCTAGCTCTGGACTCTGAAGGCTTTTGGCTTCTTTATGCTGTAGTATACGAAGTAGGAGGAGATTAAACTTCAAATCCTTCATGCTCAACTGTTTTGAGACAGTTTTCCATTCTATAAAAGTAGCCTTGTTCCCAGACTTTTGCTGTGTTTAGCTACATTACAGTAAAAGGAGAATAACAGGCTGCTTTGAGTCATAACCTTTTCCTCTCCCATCATTTGCTACTGTAATGATTCTTCGCATCATATACAGATTTTATTAGTACAATTTTATGTCGTATTTGAAAATTTCATAATGAAGTTCATTGTGTTGTAAACGGCAAGTCAGGTCAAACCAAAGCAACTCCCGGGACAGACATAGTCTGTGACAGGTGCTTAGTGAGAGGCTGAGCAGTGGGACTCTGTACCCTTTTGGTTTCCACAGTTAAGATATTCAAAGCTGATGTTTAGTAGTGCGCAGTGAATTTTCAAGTTTTGTTTTTTTTTTTTTTTTTTAAACCCGTATATACTTTAGTTCTTGCAACATCTGTGAAAATGAGTTCCATCATTTATTTTGTCCTGTGGAGAAAAATACTTTCTTCTAATAGGTGCCACATATTGTATTATGAAAAATAGAGAATAATCATTGTCTACTTACCTTCTCTACTTTATTATGGATTTTGTGGGCTAGATATCATGTCCCCTCTTTCTTTTTTATCAGTTATTCTTTACTAAAAAAAAAAAAAAAAAGGCAAAGTGTTATAATCTTCTGTATCTATTTTGAATTAGAATGACCAGAACTACTGTGGATTTATACGTGGCACAAAGATATTTGCTGGGTTTTCATTCTCTACTCATATTCTCGTATCCTATTTTCCCTTTTGTGGAACATTGAATTGATGCTTTATGGCAAATTATTCACAATCACTGAGATCTTTCTGGCATAAATGTCTAGAGCCTGTGTGTGTCTCTTGTATGTGCAATGCTCTCCCCTCAGTGACACTGAATTTCTTCAAATTATTTTGTTATAATACCCTGGTACTCAGTGAGATCTTTTAGCTTGGACAGTCCTGGATAATTCTCTGTCATTTGCACATACATGATCAGCATAGCTAGTAACATAGGCTCCTGGGAGAGCACTGCTCAAAACCCCTTTCAAGTATTAAAACTGGGTGTTTATTCTTTTAACCACCTCATCCTATAATAGATAAGTTTAATGGCTTTTGCTGTGAAACCTTCTCAAAATCTTTCTGAAAATCTGTGTACCCTCTGCAGTGCAGATACAAGGGCATTTGGTGGTTCCTTCAGGGAACTCAGATCATAAAAGGGGTTTGTGGGTGCCAAGGAATGGTGCTGAATATCATTTGGCATTAAAAACTGTGGTGTTTGTGTTTTACATAGTTGAATATAGGATCTATTTAAAAGAGGAGCATGGCTTTCTTCTTAGGACCATGATCTGGCATAGAGGATATGCAAGTTATATACTCATATGTCAAAAATGTGTTTTATTGAGCGTGTTTCATCTTTCCGTGGCTTAGTTGCTCAGGGGTGCAATCATTGCTTATTTCTTCCCTTTTTTCTATTTAGCTTCTAAACCTTCAAGGACAGGGGCAAAGTATTTATATGCATGACTCTAAACCATTTTTTGTAACTCTGGGTAATGTCATAATCCAAGTTGATAAAGCATTTGTTAAGGTCAAATAGTTTGATAAAGGCACTATGTTACAGATTTTAATCAGGCTCTGTTTCACTCTTTAAATTAACATATTTTTTTTTCTAGTTTTGGTGATACGTTATCTCAATGGGAATGTTTGTTTTGGCCACAAAATCAACCAGCATGCTGTAAGCAGTTTTCAAATTCTGTGTTACTTCAAGCAAAATAATTTTGCTGTTATCCTGCTGTTTTAAAGAAGCTAGTTGGACTCTGGCACTAATGTTGCCAGCAAAAGAGCCAAAGATTTTTTTTTTTTTTCTTGAGATTTCACTAAGGTGTGGTAATTAAGAAATGTGAAGAGAAGAAAAAAAAATCCCAATGCTTCTGCACTCAAGATGTTGTGCCATAGGAGTCTGAGTAATAGCTGTTGGGTCAGCGACCATAAAACAGCCCTATAAATGCAGAATATAAGATCTGAGCTGGGGCATTGCCTTGCAACAATTATGCCAGCAGCTAATGGTAATATCCAGTGGCGTGCCCGTCCTTCCTCCTTCACCACTTAAAGTGACACCATCCCTGTCTTCACTCTGCATCTATCATAAAGACACATTGATTTCCTTTCGGAGGAAAACACATATTTCTTCCCTCCTGCTAAGAAGATAAATCTGACAGATTTTAATCAAATGTAGTTGTTCACAACTATAGAAATGTTTCCAGTGTCATAGATGAAAACCTTCTTTCCCCCTTTTTTTTTCTTCTTTTTGAAAAGGAGGAGGTTTCTGGAAGCTAAGTTTATTTGGAGAGTACACCTGTGCTAAAAATCTTACTATATGCACTGGCAGTTAACATTTCAGGATGCCCTATGGGCAGGTTTAACTTTACTGCCCTCCAACATAATGCCTGTCTTGTAGTGGTAACCATGAATACTGCTATAGTTAAGGGTCTGTCAGTGGTTCTATCATAAACTCCCCTGTTTCCAGGGTTTTTATAACTCAGCCATAAAAACTCTCTCCAAGCTAAAGCTTAGCTTACCAAGGCAGACCTGATTCGGCTGTTGGAAAGGCAGATGATACATATCCCTCTGTCTCTTCTAAAATTAGCTATGGTCCCCAAGGAAGGGCTCTGGCAGGCCATGGGTGCCATACATGTCCAGCAGTATATGATAGATGAAGGAGGAATAGTGTCTTAGAAAGGCTTTCATCCTCTTCAAATGGCAAATAAATTGGCCTTCTTACTTTGAAGCAAGAGGAGTCAAACAACACAGTGCTTTCCAATTTAAATTGCATTTTTACTTCAGTCTTTTATTTCTTAAAGTAACTTTAGGAGTTCATTACATCTTAGCCTGGGCCACAGGCAACAATCTGATAGCATTTAGAAATGTGGAATATTATTCACAGTTGAAGTATTACTCTGGATTTAAATCAGTGGGAATAAATGTAGAAGTGGGCATCCTGAAGAAAGATCAATCAAATCCGAGGAGAGCTGATGTGCAGAGTAACATAGAAGCCATGGCTATTGTGGCTGAGAAATAAAGGAAAATGCCTTAAGAATGGAAAATTGCAATTCAGCTTTCTGCTTATATGACTGTAGACTTAACCCAGCTTGTAGGCCAGGCTGGCTGCAGGGAGCTCTGGAAGTAGAGGAAGCGTTGGTACATAATTATCTTCCATAAGGACAGCTGGGATAGATTTGGAAATAGGTTATGCGTTCTTCAGTCAGATCTGAATGTGGTGGATGGCTGCTGGTTGTACTGATGACGTGTTAATGCCACTAATGAAAAAATGCAGCAAATTTTGGATCCTGGAAATGTTTTCTTGGGGAGCAGGAAGGAATGTTTGACTCTGCCAGGATATCCACAGGCTTTCCAATCTGTGGTGGTAGGTATCCACCAAGCCTGGAGGTGCTCCCAGTCCTCTTTAGCTGTCCCATAGCTGTACGCTCACTTGATATTTTAAATTTGAAGCTTTGTGTGGATCTGGTCAGCACTAAAGAGAATGTCAAGGAAACACCTTGGCTGTGGCTGTTTGGATCAAAGCACAGCAGTGCTGAGCCTCTAGTAGAGTGACTCAAATTGTCACCTCTCCTACAGGTGTTTTATTTCTGGGCACCACACAAGGTGCGAGGTATCTGCTAGCACTGGTGTAAGTGGGAAATAGATGGGGTTGCTCTGCCTTGTACTCTGTTATTGGTAATGCTCATTTGGTGTGACCAGGGAAATAATGGGCCATGGCATGAGCTGGTCCTGCCTCTGCTCCCTCCAGGGAATGTGGGAGAGTTGGGGTCCGAAATGTGGTTTGGTCCCCATTCGTCCTGTGCCCCCGGGGCAGCTGCTGCATTAAGTGCCTCCGATTCATGCCCTGGCCTAGGATGGGGAAGGTACTACTGATCCATCTCTCCCAAAGGGCAGTTTTTTACAACAGATGAAGGAAGAACCTTGGAAAATGAAAGCAAACAAAAAAGGAAGGGGAAAAGTGCCTTTTATTTGCTATTTCTATGCTGATAATGGAATGCTAATTTAAACCAGGACCCTTTTTGGAAATGAGTCAGAAGTAAGCCCTGGCCAGATACTTTTAAACAGTATTTCTGCTTCTGTGTTGCAGGGAACTTTTACAGCCCCTGCCCCTAAGCCAGATCATTAAGGCCTTGCACTTCTTTTAGATCTAAGCCAACAAGATGATGTTCTGGTGGCCAGGCTTTTCGCTGACCCTCGTGCCTTTACGCATCTCCTCAAGATCTCAGGGAAGCCTCTCCTTTTGAGGAGCCTAGTCTCCCAGTGATCTTGGGCTGGATTTGCACATTTAACTCCCATCAAATGCTAATAGGAATTCCTTGGTCAAATCCTCTCCCCTGTCCCTCTTCATGCCTCACTGGGAGAAAAGAGCCATTAGTGTGTTTAAAAGTAAATTTCAAGGTTTCCTTTTTGTGTGTTCCAATGGCCGAGTTTGATTCCTTTCGTCTTTTTTATTTTATTGTGAGGCACCTTGAGTTATTTGCATGATAAGACACCCTGTAAATGGATTATATTGTAATGTATTGTGTAGGTTTAATGCTGACAACAGCTCGGTTTGGAAGTAAGATAGCAACTTAGATTTTTAGTTTCTGATGTGCCGTGCAGAGAAATGCCTTTTGAGAGGCATGAGGCAAAGCAGGAGGGATGAGGAAGAGGCAGCTGAAGTTAAGTTGTATGAATAACGCGAGGGAAAGCTGGCATTAAAGAGGAGCTGAATATATTAACTTCTCAGCCTCTGCACTGGAGAGAATCAATGGCACAAACTGGAGCGTCCCTTTCCTCTGTGCCATAAGAGTTAATGTGGTTTTTCCTCTCCTTTTTCCAAGGATAGCAAAGGAATGGTAATGCTTTCTGGTAACAATCTTTCATATGTGATGAGTGTAGCTTTACAGTCACTGTGCCCAGAATATTATGTTGTTATATACTGCCTACTTAAAAATTGGACTTGGTCCCTTAGAGGAGCCCTATATTTCAGAAAAAGTGGTGAAATGAACAAAAATCTATTTTTTTGGAGAGGGGGAACTGGACCACGTAATGATCGCTGATGCAGGAAGTTTGGTAGTCTGAGCATGAAGCATGGAAAACATACGCTCCCCAGGAACAGTATGCTTAAATCCTGGCAGAAACAGCTTGGCTTTCCCTTCCAAGGTAAACACGCAGTTTGCATTGAGTGGGTATGTTAGATAATACCATAAAATGTGAACTTAGTATGGACACTAAAGTGCTTGTCATCTGTGCTGAAGTCCTTGCACATGGCTGCCTTTAGTGTCACATACTTGAGATATTTTGTGGCAGACTTATGCTTTGTGCTCCATCTCTTTTGCAATGATTAAACTGGCCAGTTTAATTGCACTTTTTTTTTTTTTTTTAATTTTTTTAACATCTATTCCAAAGCTTGAATAAAATGATTACAGACAAAAGATGAATAATTTCTGGTACTTGTATTATGTTGGCTAAATTCTGCGTGGCTCCCAGCACCCTTGTGCTGGCCTAAAGTTCTTGAGCACCTCTTCAGCTGTCAGCACACACGTGCTATCACTTCACGTGGGTTGATCTATTCACATTAG